GCACGCCGACACGGAGGATCTGGGGCTGTTCGATTCTCAGGTTTGTACAGAATCCATGGTTTTAAACCTCCAAGCCCCTGAGCCACATAGCCAAAAGTAGACCATGAGCTTGTAATCAACACATCAGTTAAGCTTAAGAGATACATTTCTGCCCAAGCTTTTTGGTTGTGCATCTGCTTCTGTGTTTGCTGATATCCTTCATGACTAGGCTGGTAAACACCAATCACTTCTCCTGTCACTGTAGGATATTCCCAATACATGTCTCTTACCTTTTCAAAATAACCCGAGCTTAAGGATGTCATCAATATCGCTTTTGACTTAGGAATTCCTGATGAATTGATAGCATCCTGCTGGTGTTTAACATCAGGCAAAAGTTTATGCTTCAAAGTACAAGCTAAGATCTGATCCAATACATGTTGAAATGGACCAGGTTCTGTGTCAAACACTCTAATCTGTATGCCCACTCTTTCATCAACTTTGGCTAAATAAGCTTGATAGTATCTGGCAACAAGCCCCCACACACTGTTAGTGGGATGGAACAGATACCTACCCAAGAAATGGAAGACTGTTTCCTTGTTTGGGAAGAGATCATTCAGTTCCTGCTCAAATGATGGCATCAAGAATAGAGATGGGACAAAGTAATTGTCTGTTTTCAACACTAACCAAGGCACTTCCTGGAGAAAATGTTGCTCTTCGTCACAAAAGAAAAGCTTATCATGATCATCATAATCATGGGCTATGTGAAGGTAGACAAAAGATGGAACATTGGAATTTACGACGGATTTATTTTTCAGCATTTTCCCATAACATTGATCAGATTTCTGACTGAAATTATTAAATTGAGCAGTAAGAGGAAAATCAGCAGGGAGAAACCAGGAAGCATCTGGAAATGGCTCACAGAAAAGATCAATCATATCCACTCCAGGGTCAACCAGCAGAACACGGTTTGTGAGAAGAGCATAGAGAAATGCAGAAGCTAGGGTCAATATCCTATTCCCTAACCCACTAAATGAAATCCATACAACATATTTACAAGGCGAGGACTCAGTAAATTTACCAGACCTAAGTTGGTCCACCGTTTTGTTATAGAATTCAGTGTAAGGTCCACATTGTTTATGTTGAGCTTCATATTTTCTTAACCTAGAAATGAGGTAAGAAGAAGGCTTCCCTGATAATCCTTTGAGGTGATACATGGCTGATTGGTACCTGCTGAGGCAGGAACTTTCATCAAATCCATCAACTAGAAGGCCACCATACAGTTTATCTTGAAGCAACTCAACAGAATCAGACGTGTTATTGTCCAAATCTACAAGTCAAGAGAGGAAGAAGAAATGAAATGTTACAACTTTAACAATGGGGTGGGATAAAAAGGTGAAAGCAGTGAACCCTTCAGCAAAGAAATGAAAAAGGTACCCTGAGTGATTTGAAAGAGAGGGATGAGGGATGAGGGTTCCCTTAGGGCGGCATCCGAGGGAGGGTCTCGAAGAACAACGGAGAGTGAGAAAATAACAGAGCAGAGGAGGAGAAAAGCGACGAATAAAGCCATCAAACGCATGAGAGAGAGAGTGAAGGCACATTTAGTGTTCAAATCGAAGTGTGAGAGTGAGAACTTCTTCATCACAAAAATCGGTAGTAGCAGCAGTACAGTAAATGAATATGCAGTGAGTGAGTGAGTGTAAGTGGGTGTTTAGACGCAACAGACCATGATCCGATCGACATTAATTTGTTTGGTTACAATAATTTAATAACGTTATGTTTGTCGGTGGCTCCCTTTAAACTGCATTCATGGCAACCTCAGCGGTTTTTTCATTCTAAATTTAAAAGCATCTGGTAACATTAGAATTGTTAATTCGTTTTAAATTAAATTTATTATTATGTCATGTAATTCATATTAAAGCTCCTCCCATCTTCTTTTTTTTCCTTGTTTCTCTCTCCATCTTCTTATTCTTCTCACCCTTCTCTCATTCTAATTTTTTTATTTGTTTCTTCTTCTTACGGGTGAAATTTGATTTTCTTTCAATTCCTCCACAGACTAGGTTTTAATCCAGTAAGTTTTTTTTATTTAAGTTAATAAATAGTTTTTGGATCAAAACATATGAAACGATACATTTAGGTGTGAATCACGAAAAATAAATTAAAAAACATACGGACATCAATTTAAAAACACACTGATATTAATGTTACTTAAATAAATAATTATATCCATTATAAAGAAACATTGTTCAACAACAATGAATAAATAAATTATATTCATTAACTTCAAAATGAAAGTTTTTTTTTGTATTTTCTTATTAAGGGACTTGAGAATATAAAAATTTACGAAGTAAAATTAAGTGTAAACTATATAAAATGAAAACTATATGAAATTAGAGACATATAAATCCATATAAAACAATTAAATAAAGATAAAATAAAAGGACATGATCACATGAAACGGCTGATTAAAATATCTTGAAAGAAATACAGAAAGATAAATAAATGACGAGACGAAAAAGTAATACATAATTTTAAACTGTACAAGAATAAATTATCAAGAAATTGAAATAACTTAAAAGAAATATAGAAAAGTAAATAAATGAAGGAATGAAGAACACGAACTTAAATTGCATGTAAATAAATTATCAAGGAAAGTAAAGAAAGCGGTAAAAGATGTCGATAAAAGCGGAAATCTAGATTGCCAGAAATTCCATGATCGTCGTTCTCTAATAGACTTGTACAATAAATTTCTGATACCCCGAAAATCCCGTTCCTACTTGACGTTTTGTTCTATTTATAACCTTGTTCAACATAACCACCTAAGAACAGCTACCCATGTTCCCACGTGCAAAGATAACTGTTTCCCGCAATTTTGACCCTAGACATCGAATACTTGAACTGCCTCTGACTTCTCTCAAACTTAACTTAACACTCGATACTTATTACCAATTTTTTACTCCCAATCATGTTCATCGAATTTCCTCTATCCACTTTTTGATTCATATCTCGATTTATCCACTTTTCAATTCATATCTCGATTTTTCCCCACCAAAATTCCTCTATCCACTTTCCAATTTATATCTCGATTTATCTCCTTTTCGATTTATATCTCGATTTTTCCAACCAATACTTCTGTTTTAATAAGTGGGGATGTTTGTGGAGCTAAGGATGATCTTGGCTCGGAAAAGTTGTGTAACTTTTACGTAATTTATGATTTTGATCCTTTAAACTTAATGAACATTTAATATATTTACTTATATTTATAATTTTATTCTCTCAACCCCTTTTCAGTTTTGTAACTTTCATATAATTGATGATTTTGTTCATTTCACTCTTAATGATCATTTAATATATTTAAGTATATATCTATAATTTTATCTTTTAATTCTTTCATCTTCTTTCTTTTTTTATATTTTTTTATTATTTATTAATAATATATTATTTGACCCCAAAATTAATGATTAAAATGCGCCACTAATTTTAATTCTTCTAGTTATTTTCTCTTTTTCTCGTAACATAAGATCACCTACAAATAATTGGATGAAAATAGTAAAGAGAAGGTTTTAAAAATTAAGAACTTAAAAAAATAATCTGACAAAAAACATTTTACATAATACATAAAATAAATAATTTTTTATTTATAATAACAATAAATAATTAATTTAATTTTTGTTATCACAATAAATAAATTATTTATTTCATTAAAAAATAACAAATATTTTACATATAGATTATTTACTTATTATAACTAAAATATACTATTTTTTAGTATTTATTATATTTTAACATTAATAATAAATTACATGTATATTATTATAAAAAACTAAAATACTATTAAAAGAAATTAAAAAGGCTAATTTGAATACATTTAAATATAAAAAAAATAAGAGATGAGAAGAGAAAAAATATGAAAAGATAGATAAGAGGAGAAAGAAAAAAATACAAGTATGTGTTTGTTTGCTATTTTTAAAAATCATTTTCAAGTTTGTTAGTTTTTAAAAATAAAAAAACTTATTTGTTAATTATTTTTTTAATTATTTATATTTTGTAATTTTTAAAAACTAAAGAAATAGAACTGACAAAATATGTTTTCTGATTTCGTTAGTACGTATCTACTAAAACTCATTTATTTTTATCATTATTAAATTATTAAAATAATTATTAATTTTTATGATTTTATTTAATTTAAAATAAGTTTTAAAAAATATAGTTATTAATTTTTTTACAACTTATTTTTAAAAATATTTAAAAAAACTAACAAGTAAACTTAAATCAACCCAGTCATCTCTTAGTATTTATCGAATTTTATATATAAATAATAAATCGGTCTAATAATCTAAATAATTTAATAAAAAAATCTATTTAATTTTTTTTTTAATATATCTTGCTGGTTGAAGAGTTTTTTTTTAATTACGGTTGAATAGTTTATAATAATATTATTTCATTTATTTTTAAATGATAAACGTGATTTGGAATTAAAACAAAAAAAAATCATTTGTTATTATTATTTTAGTTTGTAAGAAATACACTTAGTTGTCCGATCTCTTATTTATGTGTGTCTTTAGAGTATTTCTAGGATTAGATATTTAATGGGGTTAATCATAAAATTTTGTATTAAAAGGGAAAGATAAAATGCCGTAGAAAAAGAGAAAGAATAATGTGGCATATACAAAAAAGTTATTTAAAATTTTAAATTACTTAACAAAATTTGAAAAAGATCTTGAATATTACACAATCAAATTTTGTATTAAGGATAACGAGTTCTTACGTAAGAAAATAGTAAGATTACATGGAAGAATGTAATAATTGAAGGTAAAATTGTTTATGGTGGTGTGAGAGAGGTCAGCAACCAACCATTGCAGATAAGCACATCTCCACCAAACCAAATGGCACGTGTCATTCACCCCATTTTCCATTTTTCATATCACAAAATCCTAATCACACCACACCACACCACACTCTTTTGTGAAGCCATAGGATTGATTGGTAACGCAAACTTGGAATTGAATTGAAAAATATAGGAGATGGCTGCAACTTCAGCGTTGGGTTCATCCACCCTCCATTCCCAAATCAATGGTCTCGCCCTTCACAAAGCCTCTCTTTTTCATCCTTGTTCCCTCACTTTCTCCAGGTATTCCTCTTCTTACGTCTACTCTCCTTCATATTTCGTACTTTCTTGAATTGGGGAGCGTACTTCTTATTCCTAAAGGAGACCCAGAGCATGAAAGTCTCATGAATTTTACTCCCTTGTTTTGATTGACATTCAAATCAAATCCACTCACTGGGACCCCTTTATGTGATGGTGGGTGTTTGTGGAGATAATGTTCTGGGTAAGGACAGCAGCGTTTGTTCAAAATAACTGAAAAGAATGACCTTTGGGTAGCTTGCATCATGCCATCATCATGCATTGTCTCCTGGTTTGGATGTATGTTATTTTCATCTGGGAGAATTGTGACAACTTGTTACGCTGTTTTTGTGCCTGAATGGTTCTGTTTATTTCTACCCTTGCTATCAGATTTGATAATTTTTTCGTGAGGTTTGGGAATCTCGTTCTTACTCTAAAAAATTGGTAGCTTCAGAGCTTCATTTTATGAGCCAGCATTTTCATGTATTTATTTGTGGCCTTGTGTTCATGTGGAGTTCTAAAACTACTTTGCATGTGATTGGTACATATTTATGCAGATTGCAGTGCATGTATACTTTGTTAGATATGGTTTGTGCTTTGGGGTATTTGACAGAATAATATAGTCTTCTTTAATGTCCCTTTTTAACTTGCTACTTTGTGAATTCAGGAGGAAGATTTCAACCACGGTGAAGGCTTCATCTCGTGTTGACAAGTTTTCAAAAAGTGACATCATTGTTTCTCCATCCATTCTTTCTGCTAACTTTGCAAAATTAGGAGAGCAGGTTTTGTAACAGACTTTACATTCTGTTATCGGTGTCAGTTTCCAATGTTTTGTTTTGCCGCTACACATAAATTTATAAAGGTCTTTGGTCCAAATTGTTTACAATGTACTGTCTTTCATAATCATTTTATCAAGTTTTCTGATTGCCAGTGAACCCATCCTTTTGTTTTCTAGGAACTATTTGTGTTTGCTTTTCTATTGTCAGCAATCATGAATGTTGGAGTTCGCGTGTTATCTTGTCTAGGTGAAAGCAGTGGAGTTGGCTGGTTGTGATTGGATTCATGTTGATGTTATGGATGGTCGCTTTGTTCCAAATATTACAATTGGACCTCTTGTGGTTGATGCATTGCGCCCTGTGACAGATCTTCCTTTGGATGTACACCTGGTATTCATCTATATACACACGCTGATTTAAGCTGACATTAAATCTAAGTACTTTTCTGACTTTTGTTGTAATACGGTAGATGATTGTTGAGCCTGAACAAAGGGTGCCAGATTTTATCAAGGCAGGAGCTGATATAGTCAGTGTTCATTGTGAACAATCATCCACCATCCATTTGCATCGTACAGTTAATCAAGTAAGAATTCCTCCCGAACTGTCCAATTCTTGAACAACAACATTGTTGCAACTGAAAGTTGATGCCAAGGGAACCAACCTTTATCAACTTTAAATAAAAAATAAAAATTTATTAAAGGAGCTAAACATATGTTTAAGTCAGTGTACAATTATCACATGCAATTTAAGATATTTTTTGGTCAAGGATACAGTAGTAGACTAGTAGTCTCGTATGGTGCTGAGACGAAAGTTTAACATTTAAGTAACAGTGAAGAGATGTCTTGGTTACTTATATTATTAAGGATACTTCTATACTTTGCAATGTGGATAGAGCATTAATAAACAATGAAGTCTGTAGACTGGATAAAGAAATGACCATAGCAATTTCTCGTAGTATTTAAGGTATCAACTTGCCTGTCCAAATTGATATATTGAAATTGGCATACTTTTTTCGTGAAGCATTTGACCTTGGGAGTGTTTATAACCCTTTGAAAAAACACAGCCAAATGTCATATCAAGGAAAATCTTAAACCAGGATTGACCTTGGAATTAATTTAGAATTTTAAAAAAAAAATTCAAAAGTTGAAATTCTTTTTGCTGTTAGATGTTCTTTCAATATTTTCTTGGGACCTGTGATTCTTAAAAAAAAAAAAAATCACATGTCTTTTTTATCCTTTTGTTGGTTGGTTTGGGTTCATAATCACCTATTACTTAGGTTTTGGTAAAATGCAGTAGAAGGCATTGGTCTCTTTATCTAATTGGCCAGAGCTATATGAAGTTGACTTCTTATTCCTGATGAGGTATGCCTTGCCTCTTCATGTCAATTAAGTGTCTAGATAAATAAGTGGAGTTTGGAAGCCTTATACCAGCTCAGAAGTTTTCCATTTTCTGAATCCATGTTTGCACCATGGTGAAATATGAGTCCTTACTTTTGAGTATATCCATTTCAGAGTTAGTTTCTTTCTTTCAGCACCACAAATTTTTATATGCAATAGTGTTAAATGCCATCTTGGGAACTGGACGGTTGAAATTATTCTTGGAAACATGGAAATTTTTCCACTCTTGCTTTAATTTTTCTGCTTAATATACCTGACCTCATTCTCCTGATTTAGGTGAAAAGTCTGGGAGCTAAAGCTGGAGTTGTCTTAAACCCTGGAACCCCCTTAAGTGCAATAGAATATGTCCTTGACGGTGAGCCATTTTTACTCCTTCTATTGTCTCATTTCTTTTCAATATACAATGATAGCATTAGTGATCCTATTTAATATTTATGACTTGGGTTCCCAGTATTCTTTGTGACTTTCTAAGCTTTAACCATGAACCAGCCTACTCTGGATTGAGTGTAGAATAGAAAAGTTACCCAAGCTGTTAGTTAACTAAGAGTTATGTTTCTTCACTTCATTATTTTTTTAATAGAAGGGTGCAATTTGAGCTATTTAGGGGATACTTGTAACAGAAAGTTATAATTTATAAACAGAAGACAAAGATTTAGTCTGCAGGTTTAATAGCAGTGTTAGACATATTAGTCCTACGCTAAGGTTTTACAGTTTAATCTCAAATCTAGAATTAACATTTACTATCCTAGTTTTTGGGTCCACTCCATATTCCATGATAGTCAACAAATTTGAAATCAAGAACTTGTTTTTATGCTCGATCATTAAGTTGTTTAAATTATCATTCTGCTTGTAATAGTATAGTTTGAGTTCATGTTCTACACATTTTTCTAATTAGTTTATTGTTTTAAAACTTTAGTGCTCAAACAAATTAGCAAATTAGAGAGTAAAATTTATTTTCCTTGATATTTATTTACACTAACCACTCATGAGAAATGCATGGGCATTTTTTACCTCATTAAGGAGATAAAAGAGAGGGAAACATCTTCTTTCAGAACATATTGAGATCTTTTTAAATTACATGTTTACAAAATTCTTTTAGTTGTTATAAATTAAAAGCTCTAAATTTTGTTTATGGTGTTGGCAGTGGTTGATTTGGTCTTAATTATGTCTGTAAACCCTGGGTTTGGTGGCCAGAGTTTTATTGAGAGTCAAGTAAAGAAAATTTCTGAGCTGAGGAGATTGTGCGCAGAGAAGGTATGTTGATCGTATTTGTATTACTCTGTATTATTTTTTTGGTTTCCCCCAACTTTTATGTCGTACAAAATCTCTATCTGTGTTCTCTCTCTTTCTCTTCAGGGAGTAAATCCATGGATTGAAGTGGATGGTGGAGTTGGACCAGCAAATGCTTATAAGGTACCATATACATAATCATATTGTCTTCTATCCATTTATAATTTAGAATGATCTTGCAACTAGTCTTCTACATGGTGAACATAATCTGATTGTGCTCAATGAACTAACTCAACATAAAATATTGGAAACAGCTGATGTGACATGCGTATCTAATCAATCTGTTCACGCATTCAAGTTTATATGTATAATTTTTTGGTGAATGCACTTCAACTTTATATAGACCTCTATATTTTGACTAAGTCCTCCGAAATAATGACGGCGAAGTTCATGCTTATTTATTCATTGAATTAGAATGCTTCAACAAGGCATAGCAATAGGATTGATCCATTTGAGTTGTAAGATCCAATTTTTAGTATAATCTTGTTTGGCAGGTGATTGAGGCTGGAGCCAATGCACTGGTTGCTGGTTCTGCTGTGTTTGGAGCTAAAGATTACGCTGAAGGTACCCAAAATAATATTTTGTGATTTGACATATACTGCAATGCATTGTGATTTTAATGATTTTCCTGGCTTCAACTCCCTTGCAGCTATAAGAGGAATCAAAACCAGCAAAAGACCTGAAGCAGTTGCTGTGTGAATGTGTGCATGGTATCATATTCTACGCTCCAATGTAAGCTGTATTTCTGCAACGTAGAGGTCTCTCCATTAAATTTTGACTTCAATTTTCTGATTGGATGATTGAATACAAACAAAATTGACTGCCAATATGAGAGAAATAATCAAGTAAAATAATGGCAGCCATTGCTTACGACTATGTTATACTTCTGACTCAATTATCGTATCTGATTGATAAGCATGCAGTACTACTTCAAATTATACTTTTAGTTGTGTGAAAAATGCTCAGCTGGAAACACAAAATGATCTCGTTCTAATTTTCACTGCTGGTTTTACTCTGTTTGAACCTGGCAGACATTATTCATGAGTTAGCGGCCTATTGGGCACTATTATGTTGCCTGGCTTGTTGTCACCACTGGCATTTGCTTCTCTCTGGAATTAACTATAAGAAATCAGTCCAAGTAAGGCTGCTGCTGTGATTCGTAGTTTGTGTATAATCTTTTGGAGTATGGGGACAAGTTTCATTGAAGATAAGGCTCTATACTCTGTAGTCTATATCAACTTGTAACCTGTCAGTTGTATTCCCCCATATTGTAAAGCAGTTGTGCTTTCTTTAAATAAAAGTTTTAAGAGAATCAGCTGAATAAATTATGTTTTTTTTTGTGTCCATGTTGATTGCATTTTGTTTTGTTCTAACAATGTCAATAGGACATTCCATGTCAGCTGCTCTTATATATCCTAGTCAGGGTACGAAATGTGTCTACACGCATAGAGGAAAGGACCACTTGAAAGGGGAATAATGACCACTTAACTTTAAATTCTAATTATAGAGCGTGTACCTAATGTTTCATATATTTGATAAATGTGTCAAATTGTTGGTCTAAGGAATGTAGAAAAGACAATCTTACTGCTATACTGCCAAATTTTACGCTAATTAAAAAGGAGATTATTATGCTAACAATCGGCTATCCATTTCCCAACATGCAAAGTTAATCGTATGTTGTATCAATGGCTATTATATATACTACTTTATAGTCTTTTTGGCAACAATAAAACTGGTGTCCCGTTCTAAGAAATCAACGAACCTAATTGTTGGCAACAATGTACAGATGGGTGCGCAATTCTTGACCCATAGGCATATTGCTTAAGAGAATGGTGGTCTAGCTGGCCTATGGTGACTTTGAAAACCAACCACTTCTTAAAGAACAACAATACTATCAAGAAAGTGGCATGACAAATTCATTAGCCGGCAAAATCAATCTCATTTGTTTAATTCTTTCTGGCTGAAATTTCTACTCTAGCATGATAGTCTTGGATTCTCATAATTGAAAATATTACCGAACATTTTACAATGAATTAATATAATTAGAAAACATAATAGTCATTTTTTTCTCATTTTTTTATTCTCCCAAACATATGTTATTGGGCATTGACTTTCATAGCAAATAGTATCATTGATAATTACATAGGAGAATACTACAAAATAGCAAAGTCAACTGTACAAAACTTAATGAAAATTTTTGTTTATAAAACAAATAATACAAGATATACATCTGCCGATGAAGATGATCTGAGAATGTCCAAGGAACAAGAGTTACACATTCTGTCTGCACACAGGACAGGAATCATTCTTGACAAGCCATTTGTCCACACATATCAAGTGAAATGTATGGTGACAGCGAGGTAAGCTTCTTGCAATTTCACCTACTTCAATATCCTGTAAATTTCACTTCTCAATATTGAGATAATTACATTAACAGTTTCATAAAGAAGATGTGGATTCAACTCAATACCTACCCACTGGTGGTTTAATATTAGTATTTTAGGAGTCTCCTTATCAATATTATTTATTCTTTTTAATTGTTTGCACACATGAAACAAAAAAGGATTAGGACATTCACATATCTTAAAAATAATAATCACCTGCAAACATATTGTACAACAAGTATTCTCTGCCTTCATATCCTTTGAGATCATATGGTGCGGTAACCTCTTCAACGAATCTCCTGACAATCCTCTGGGTGCCACTAAGCCATGAACATCGTGAATCTCATCATAGCCTGGGTTAGCAATGCCAACCTGCTCAAACTAAAACAAATTATCACCGGTCAAAAACCGGACATTATTCAACAGACTGCGAGAAAAAGTAGTCCAAGTACAGAATTTACAATTGACTTCTTAACGATGAAGTCCTAGACAACAAACTCAGCAAAGATTTACACTAGTTCACGTTAGTTGATATGTAAATAAGCTTTAATAACCATGCTTGTTTAAAATAAAATAAAATAAAATAAAAGTGGTCTACATGAGTTTAAAAAAATCAACAACAGTGTGACAAAATAATCTGTAGAGATTTACACAGGCCATCGTTAACTAAGAAAAACAGTTGTTAAAAATTAAAGATGTTTTATTAGCAGGCATAAGAGTTAAGATGTGTTGTTAAAAAAGGTTAAAAATTGAAGATAATACTGTGCATATACAACTCCAATGGCAGTGATATTACCAATGAACCATATGGTTAGCTATAGTCCTGTAGATGCACTTGTGATTAAATGGCGTGGCACTTGTGATTAAATGGCGTGGCGAATAATCTATCTTCTAATATATAAGCCGCATATAATTATTATGTAAACAACATTTACATTACAATAATTTCACTTTTTTTCTCTCAAATTCTCTCTGTACCGTAATTTTCCATCAAGTGGACATCATATATAAATTGGAAAAGTTCACAGTGAAGACATACTCGAGTGCGCCAATTAAACAGCAATGCATTAAAACGGCTCCTTTATTCATTGTTATCAGAATCTTTGGATTCACGATTCAAATCCTGTTCATGAGCTACATATTTGGATTATTGGGCATTATAGGATTCGCATTTGTATTGATGCGGAAGTTGTTGACGTCCAACTTTGGACTGAAAATCTAACAAGGTCAGGTGTTATAACTTTTGATTCCAAATTTGGGACGAAGATACTAGATATTTCAAGAGCAACATACATTTGTTGACTGAGAAATTTCTCGTCCTACCTAGAGTCCTCCCCCTTTTAACTTGAGTTAAAATTTTCAGAAAAATAAAATTCAAAATCCTTCAAGATTTTTTAATTAACCATGATACCATATTCTGATGTGATTAATGTACCTTTTATGTATGATTTCCTTTAGGAAAACAAATTCTCAGCTGTCAAATCTTAGTTTTTGCCTTACTAGCTGCTATATTTGTTAAGTAAATAATCAAATATATCAGCAGATATACTGCACTCTGATTTGCATTCTATATGTTTAAAGGTTTTTCTTACAAAGTGAGTAAAATAGTTTAAATCTCCTTTTTAAAACTTCAATATTTAGATTTCAATTGTTTATATAGGTTACTAGAGTTTGAAAGAAGTTGATCAAAATGAGAGAAACCAATTTTAGTTGAATTGAAAGAAAAAGAGGCTCGTCTCTGATTCAAGAATAGTGAATATGCTGATAAAACTCCAAGAGGAGGAGAAAAGAAAGCTGTCATCTTGCCTGCTTACGGCAAAGGAAAAACATCGAAAACAAGGGCATTACTCACAAGCCTTACAAGATTAAGGTTAACTCAAATTGGCCATACCCATCATCAGCTCTCAGTATTGCCAATTCAAACATTGCGCGATGCATCCAGACTACTATATCAACCCACAGACACATACAAACTATAACTTTCAAAAGGCAAATGTGGTGCGAGAGAGAAAGGAAAGTACCTGTAAATTGTATGCAGTTAAAATGGCAGGTGTAAGAGATTCCTCAACAAGCCTCCCCCGAACAAGTTCCTCTATGAAATCTGCCTGGATTACAATGTTAAAACATTGGCTTAAAACTACGAATTAAGATAGCCACTCATAGGGCTAAAACCACTCTTAAAATGCTACTTAATGAACAGGCTACCACAAACAAGTCCAAGGCATAAAACTTAAAAAAGGGTAAGCATTTTTTGCCTCATAATTTTGAAAGTTAGAAGTCATTTAACTCAGAGACCAAGGAAAATCAACAACAAAATGACTACTAACCATAGATGATGCACCCCGTGAGCCAGTTTGCTCCATACACCAGTATGCACGGGAAGCTTCCAACACCTCCACTGAGAGTATAGACCCGGCAATGGCACCCAATGAAACTCCCCGGAGAAGACCACTCTTTGTAGCCTTAGCTGCTAAAGCACCAGCTATTGCTCCTGTCAGGGCCCCAGCTGCAACCATAAAACACAAGACATGAGACCGATATTATCAAACCTCACAACTAGCAACACACTAAAGTAGTGATTACTGGCCAGGAAAACATTCTCCACTCCGAACATTTTCCACCTTTGTAACCAATAGCACCTTCACCAACAACTATCACACCAACCACAAATTTCATTATCACCAATTCATAGAAAGGGAAAAAACTTTTAGTGCAGATACTTTTGGTGCTGCCTGTATTTTCTTTAATCAGATTAGAGTTTCACCTTCAAAAAACTATGTTGATCTTTGATGTAAACATATATTACATTGATTATTGAATAAAGCTCCAATTTTAATGGGAAAGCATCACTAAAAATAACACCGTCTAAGTTGTGACAAAAAGAAAATTCCAACATAAATTTGATTTATGCATGGTACAATTTAATTTACTATTTCTACTTTTTACAGAACAAGAAGCCTCGAGACTTACACCTTAACAGTCAAAAGCAAATACAAAAAAAGACTTATCATTTCATTGACGCCCCACGTATCAAAACAAAATAATAACATATTCCAGAAGGAAATAAAATGAAAAGGCAGAAATTACCAATGGCAAAACAGACGGTGAGGGCCCCAGAAATGGTGCACAATATGAATTTGGACAGAGAGCGAAATCCCCAAGGTCCCTGGATTATTCCATTTTCCATGATGCCCAACCAAAACTGGGAATCTGATTATTTATGTGTCAGAGAGTTGCAAACTGCAAGGCCATGGCTGCTGTTCTTCTTGTTTTTTATCGGTGATAAGATGACGATGATGATGGGATTTGAAAGGATAAGAAAGGGAAAATGAATTGAAAGGTGAGGTAAGGTCAATTGAAGGAAAGAGATGAAGATGATGGAATTGGATGGTATGATAGGACTCGGTAAGGTCAAAGAAAATAGTAATACTAAGAAAAGAAATAATAATTGAACTTCTACTCTGTTATATGGTAGCACTACCATATCATATGATTCATATTATCATTATTATATATAGAATATAGAATTATGGAGGAGGTTAAGAAATATAGTACAAAAGGTCATGACCTTTGCATGAAAGAGAGAAAGGTTTGCACCAACCAAAAGATTGTATTTATTTGGTAATTAATGCTATAATTAATGCTAATCTCCTCATGTTTTAATTTTACACGCACCCCAATCGCAGAAATTGCTTTGCTTCTGGGACTGATGGTTCTACAGGGGCCAGCCCTAATTAATCATAACCTTCTTCAGATCAGATCCAATGCCATAAAATATACTCTTACTGCATCAAAATTTGTACCCACACTTCACCCCTTATCACACTCATTCTCCACCAAAAGGGTGACTTTTGATTGTTTAACCAACTTGGTTAATAATTAATTATTCCCCTTTCCGTTTTCCCTTTTATCAAAAAATTCTTTCCATTCAATGGTTAGGCATATCCAAGCAACACACGTGCACTAAAAAAAAAAACACTATGTCACATCAACAATAATAATTTACAGTTAACTTTTCTTGAATGAAAGAAATTTCAAATAACTCACTATTTTATATTTCTTTAATTTATTAAATGAAATAAATTTTAAAGAAAGTGATAAAGATAGTTGTAATAATCAAGCATTAAATACTCCCTTTTATCATAATCTACATTTAGAACATATAGTTTTAATAAGGTATTTTATACTTTTAGATTTATTTTGTATATACCTTTACTAAGTATTTAAAGTTTTTTTATTAATGAATCGAAGATACTTTTAAAATTTATCAATAATAGAAAATTAATTTGTCACTTGGTAATATTCTTTTAAAAATTTAATCAAAATAATGATTGTTATTGGCAGATGTAATTATGTAAGAGTATTTTATATCAAAGATAGAATGTATCTTTTTTTTCTTAGTCATATCCTTGATATTTAATGAGAGATAAATACTATATTAAAATATAATATGAGAATTACAAATGGATGAAAATGCATATAAAAAGGTTAATCCTATCATATATTATTTATAGACTTTTTTTTTTAAGAATATCGAGTTTATGTAAATACATGTTAATGATTAAAAAAATAAAAATATAATTTTCAAATTACAGTATTTAATATTTAATTATATATCAATAATAACGCTAACACGTGTGTTGTGTTTGGCAATGTAAAATGTTAGACGCGGGAACACTTTCTATGCGTGTCTTGACTCTTGTTTAACTTAGTATGAAAAAATAATTCTTTTTTCTTTTTACTCTTTTTATTTGTTATTTAAGTACTGGCTACATTTTAAGAAACCAATTGAGTATATTAATTGTTACATAAAAATAATATTATTTTATTAAAATATTTTTTCTCACTAATAATCAACTCCGTTTTACAATTATGACTATACATCTACCAATACATTTATTTGTTCAACAATATGAGCATATATTTATCTAAAAAATAATTAAGTTTGGTGAATGTCTTAAACTTAAACAATATTATGGTTGAAAAAGTATTAAAATAATTAAATATATTTTTAGAAATTAAACATAAATAAAATATCGGTGATAGTTATATTTATATTGTTAAAAAATTACAATCAGGTGCTTGATATAGTGTGCATGGATGGAGTATTAGGGTTGCAAGAGAAACTGTTTTTGCTATAAATGAAAATAAATTTGGAGATGTCAAATGCAACTGTGATTATAATGAATATTAAACACTTAAAGAAGCGAAATTTCTTTAACCTAAAATGAATGTTGATGTTACAATTCAGAATTTGAGTCAAATAATTTGTTTTAGCACTGGTAGTTAGGTATATATTAAAAAGGGCTAATTAATGTCTTGTGCATTGTAGGTTGAAATATCAATAAATAAGAGTTTTATTTAAAAATAATAATTAGTATCTTTTACAATGATAATTACTTCCAGATAAAGAAATATTTCAAAAGGAATATTTCTAAATTTTTCTATCAATCCTAGGATTCTTTTTTAATGATAAATATCGATATATATATATATATATATATATATATATATATATATATTTCTATGGTTTCTGATATATTAAGTCTATTTAACTTGATTTAAAAAAATAAATAATTACTTGATGATTTGTATGAAGGAATAGAAAAGGGATACCCAAAAGATATATGTCGAGATATATAATTATATATGAGTTTACTTGGAATAACTAAATCTTAAAAAAAAAAATGTTATTTGTAAAATTATGAGGATGTGATGGATAGTTGTAAACTTTAGATTATTTAGGATTAAAAAAATAATAAAAAAATCAAAGGATGGGATAGTTAAATTTTAGATTATTTTAATAATTAATTATAACCCTAATAAAATTTTCATTTGTTGAAAATTATTTCTAAAGTAATTGATTTTGTTTGTATAAAAAGTAATATTGTATATAAGGAAATAATATGTGTTAATAAATTATCATTGATTTCAAGGTTTTAATGCAAAATAAAACAAGCACAAAAAAAGGGAAACCTTCTATAAATTTGAGTCCAAAATACATCTAATAACTTTTCACTTTATGCATACCTTTTTATATAAAAGTTGTTTTTATATTTAAACAATTTAATTATCTACAAATAGTTTTAAAAAACTTAACAAAAAATAATTCTGATGGTAATAATAATCACTTACACATATATAATTTTTTAAAATAGTATAATTTTACAACAGTTCCAAACACACCCTAGTTAGTTTTATATGGTAAATCAAAATATAAGCCTGGCACACTTGAGTTGAAGGATTTTTTGCCGAAGACGGTGACATTTGAAAATATTTGTTCACTTTTAAGTTAATAATAGATTAGAATGAAGGTCTAACTCTACCAAGATGTGTGTGAAGAATAAATTGTTTAATTTATATATTGAAAAATATTTATTTCTTATAAAATTTAATTATGTATAAAAAATGTTGACTCTACATAATGCATAAATAAAAATATCAATTTTTATTGAAGTTAATAATATTAGTAAACACAGTTGGACCAAAAGCACAATTTTATTACTTAGCAGAAAAACGAAGGCGTGGTTTCAGAAGTTGTTGTTGGTTGTATATTGAGGTTACATGTTGATAAACAGTTCAGTTCCTGCACACGGCAAAAGAGTTGTTCAAGAACACTTGTTGTTCCTATTACAGAACTGCAACAGCGTAAACGCTCTCGTTCAAATTCACACTCAGGTACTTCTCAACGGTCTCTCTCACAAGAACATCATCATCGCCAAACTCCTCTCCTTCTACATAGCCTCTGGCCATCTCCAACATGCTCACCACCTTTTCGCCAAAATGGACAATCCAACAACCACCGTTTGGAATCACGTCATCAGAGGATACGCCCGCAGCCACATGCCTTGGAAATCGCTCCAATGTTACAGCCACATGCTGTCTACTGAGGCTCAGCCTGATGGGTTCACGTACTCGTCTCTCCTGAGTGCATGTGTGCGAGGTGGGTTAGAAAGAGAAGGGGAGCAGGTGCATGCCACGGTTTTGGTAAAAGGGTATTGCTCCAATGTCTTTGTGGACACAAGTTTGATCAATTTCTATGCGAGGCATGGTGGCGTTCAGAGAGCGCGCCATGTGTTTGATGATATGGGGGAAAGAAATGTTGTTAGCTGGAATTCTATACTTGCTGGGTATGTCAGGTGTGGCGATTTTGATGGGGCTAGAAGGGTTTTTGATGCGATGCCGTGTAAGAATGTTGTGTCTTGGACCACCATGGTTGCCGGGTGTTCTCAGAATGGCAAGTGCAGACAGGCTTTGTCATTGTTTGGTGAGATGAGGAGGGCACGTGTGGAATTGGATCAGGTGGCATTGGTGGCGGCTTTGTCTGCGTGTGCTGAATTAGGGGATCTGAAGTTGGGAAGATGGATCCATTGGTATGTTCAACAGTGGTTTATTGGGAGGGACCAGCAACCCTCAGTGCGCTTAAACAATGCTCTCATACACATGTATGCTAGTTGTGGAATCATTCATGAAGCTTATCAAGTGTTTGTCAAGATGCCTTGGAAAAGCACTGTGTCTTGGACTAGCATGATCATGGCTTTTGCGAAACAGGGACTTGGGAAGGAAGCCCTTGATCTGTTTAAGACTATGCTTAGTGCTGGTGGAGTAAGGCCTGATGCAATAACCTTCATTGGAGTTCTTTGTGCTTGTAGCCATGCGGGGTTTGTGGAAGAAGGACGCCAAATTTTTGCATCCATAAAGCATACTTGGGGAATCAACCCGAGGATTAAACACTATGGATGCATGGTTGATCTCTTAAGCCGTGCTGGATTCTTAGACGAAGCACGTGGACTTATTGAAACTATGCCCTTAAAGCCTAATGATGCACTTTGGGGTGCCCTTCTTGGTGGTTGTCGTATTCACAAGAATTCAGATCTAGCATCACAAGTGGAAAACAAGTTAGTACCCGAGCTGAGCTCTGATCAAACTGCAGGTTATCTTGTGCTTTTGTCAAACATATATGCTTTTGGTGAAAGGTGGCAGGATGTTATCACAGTGAGACAGAAAATGATTGAGATGGGTGTGAAAAAGCCTCCAGGCAGAAGTTGGATCCAAATTAATGGAGTTGTCCATAATTTTGTTGCGGGCGATATGACTCATAAGCATTCATATTTCATCTATGATATCTTGTCTGATGTCACTAAGCAAGCCAATCTGGAAGGTTATGAACCAGAGATAAATGTTTTCTTGGATGTTGAAGAGTAGGAAGTGTAAGAAGAGCATAACTTTTTGCTCTGTGCATTTTGGTTCTACAATTATATTTGTTCATCTTTTCGGATTGCAGGTGCTTATTTTCTTGTTTTTGGAGTGGATGGTGATAATTGCTAGTGCGAGTGCTAGTTACCCATGGTGATCGTATACCATCACTCTGATTATACAAACATTCTGAGGAGGAATGCTTCTGCCACAAGTGTTCCTTCTCTCGTGCTGTGTCTTTTTAAATGAAGCTGAATTCTTGCTGGCATGACGTGAACATTGACATGTTCTCAAGACAGGACCAAAGTTAGCAGATCAGATATCTTATTCTAATACCTTGTATCACGGAAAGGAAAAAGCTAATGTGATTAATTATTAATGGATGAGCCATTCTTTTCGTCTGGTTTCTTTATTCAAATTTTCAAAATCCTTCTTCTCTTGCACTGACTGCTAGGGACTCTTCTTTAAGGTATATCCAAGTTCCACCCTTTATGGCCAGCATTCTCTGTGGTCCGTTCCTACTTTATTTTGGGATGTCCAGCAGTAGTGGATTCTAAATGCACTTGTGGGTTAGCACGGTGGAAGCTTCAAGCAAGGGAAGATCATTCTTACAAGCTCCACCCTTACTATACCTTGTCCACCGTCCATTTTGATTCCTCTTGGCAGCTTCTTTGGGTAAAGTTTTAGTCTGGTCTGTGGTGTTCTAAATGTTCAAGAAAGCTTTGTTAGGCAAGACCCTTTTTTTTCTTCAACAGGGTTGATTTTGTTGAGCTATTTTTTACTTTTTCAAGAACTGGTAAACCGATTGGAATAAACAAAAAAACCAGTTCTGTACAAGTCAATGGAAAATGCTTAATACGATATCATTTGGATTATTTTTCTTAAAAAATATAAAATAATTGTCATATTCTGTTTTTACTCTTCTAGATTTAAATTTGTTACTATTAATTAATATAATTGTTTATTGTTGAAATTTAGACTTAAGTATTATAATATAATTATGTATCGTTGAAATTTAGACGTTAATATAATGTAAAAGTTGGAAGTGAATATGGCTAAATCCCGAGAGTACTAATAATCATTGGAGGTTTGTGGTACATTTTAGGATGTCATTGTTTTCAGAAATCCGAGATGGTTGGTTGTGTTGATTCCCTATTCTGCTATCCATAAAATGCTGTCTGAAGAAGCAAAGCACAACTAATAACTAACTCCCAACAGACATCCATTCCACATCCACTCATTATCCATTGCTTGCTGTTTTGGATTAGAGTGCAGGAAAAGATATGCCAAGACTGCACCGCCATTCAACCTCATGGGAGGGTTAGTAATAACTTCAACTCATGGGCCTGTGCCAGCCCAATCAACACTCCTTCACTATATAACCTCATCTTAACTTCCATCAAACAAACAAATTCTCATTGTCGGTACAAATTATAACACTGTTCGGTTGAATTCTCTCTCAATGGGTTCTCTCGCTGAAGACCGATCAGAGATTGTGTTCTTCGATGTTGAAACCAGCGTTCCCACCCGAACTGACAAGGGTTTTCGGATTCTCGAATTTGGAGCCATTTTGATTTGCCCCAAGACGCTCACGGAGCTCCGCAACTACTCTTCTCTTGTCCGACCCGCCGACCTCTCCGTCATCTCTCCCTTGTCCGAGCGCTGCAATGGCATCACCGCCAACGCCGTCTCCGCCGCCCCCACTTTCGCCGACATTGCTCCCCTCGTCTACGACCTTCTTCACGGTAACTTTTGTTTGTTCCTCTCTCTCTCTGCTAAGTGTGGTTAGGTTTTGATGTTGGTGAGCGGTGAATTTTGTGTAGGGAGGATTTGGGCGGGTCATAATATCATAAGGTTCGACTGTGTTCGGATTAGAGATGCGTTTGCTGAGATTAATCAGCCGCCACCTGAACCTAAGGGGACCATCGACTCTCTAGCTTTGTTGACTCAAAAGTTTGGAAGAAGAGCTGGTGACATGAAGGTATCATAATTTATAAACCATAATGATGTTAACATGTCTTTGTTCCTTGTATGCATTTCTTTCTTTGCGCTCTACCATTTAAGTTTGCACCTTTTCAGTTGGTTATTTAAGTTATTGTGATATACTTATGTAACTAATGTTCACTGCAGATGGCTACTCTTGCTACTTATTTTGGACTTGGACGCCAGACACATAGGTCACATGCTCATGCAATTTTCTCGTATCAGCTATATATTGACTTTATCTTTTCTGACACTTTTCTGTTGTGCAGGAGCTTAGATGATGTTCGGATGAATCTTGAAGTCCTCAAATACTGTGCAACAGTTCTATTCTTGGTAATTTGCAATCCATCTTGCTTTTGTTTGGCAACTCAGCTCCGTTGTTGATGTAACAACAACTTTTGTTATAGTTAAGGTTTTTTCAAATCGTGCGAAAGAAGGAAGAACCAAATTATTTCTTAACTTGACATCAGTTCAGTTCATCAGCTTTCTGTTTGATGTTATCAAGAAAATACATGTAGTTACTTGAGTCACATGGCGTAAAGCATGTTGTTAGAATTTAGTAGCGTTTTTCTCATTTTGGTCATATGGTAGCTTTTTTTGCAGTCAGTGATAGATGCTAATAGAAATTGGCTAACAATGGCTTTACTTTGATCATGTTATATTTTTCCTTAGTTTTACAGTGATGATTTTCTGCCTTGGTTTATTCTTATCTAGCTGTTAAATTATAGTTCTTTAAATACCAGGATGCATTTTCTGGCTTTTAATAAATTATCTAACTTAGCACTTGATATCAAAAGAACGTTCTCCTGTTCGTGTTTTTAAGGTTCAATCACTTTACGGTCTCCACAAAAAAATTCATATACATCACGTAGTCACATGAATTAAAATTTCCATGCTGTGTCTGTTTGGGGCAGGGGTTTAGAATCTATCTTTAGTCTACTATTTACACAGGCAAGATTACCCTACTCGTGGATGGAATCGGGTTTTACTCTGTAGCTTCAGTATATTACTTGGAAAATGTTTGATTGAAGAACCTTAATACTTGCGCTACCTTGTGAATCAAAATGGCGCTTTAAGAAATAATATAGTTTTCTTATTCTATATAATGTTTTCCAGCATCAGTTGAGAACTTGTCATAAAAATAATGATAATCTCTGTCCTTACAGGAATCAAGTCTCCCAGATATATTCACTGCAAACAGTTGGGTTTCACCAAATGCTACAACAAGAAGCCGCAGTAATGGGAAATCTCCATCACAGGGGGGCTTGTTAAATACTAATAAGGGTTCTGTAATATCATTTCCTGCAGTTGAATCCAAAGACAAAAATCATCCAATAGTTTCTTTTGCTACGAGCAGCCCAGAAGGGGATGACCTGAATATTGCAGATCCTAATATAGTTCAATTGGATCCTTTTAACTTGAGTGCTCTTGAGGAAGAAATAGAAAAAGAACCCATTAAGTCAGATGTTTCCATGGTTGAAAAATCCACGCAAGAGTCACCTGATTTGGCTTCCTCCTCTTCTGTGTTTCCGCCCTGCAGCGGCTCTATTCTTGTTTTAGAACCGGATGGAATATGTATCCCTTCTATTAATGCATCTCTTGTTCCATCTTTTCATGGTAGTCAAAGGATAGAGTTACTGCATGAAGGTTTCCCATTTCAACTTCATTGTACTGATTTGAAAGTGCGGTTTGGAATAAGCACAAAGTTTATTGATAATGCTGGCAGGCCACGATTGAGTTTTGTGGTTGATTCATCACCAACCCTATGTAATGTTCTTGATGCATGTGACGGCATTGCGCAGAAGTTAACTGAGGATTCTGGTAGCAGCTCTGATTGGAGGCCTGTTGTTGTTAGGAAAGAAGGCTTCTTCAACTATCCTACTGTCAGATTGCAGTAAGTTCTTATCCTATTACTTTATTTTATCAACATAAATGACTGCCTCATGTCACATGTATAATGGTGGATAACACTATTCTCAAAACTGGGCATTCCGTTTAACATGACCACTGTGTCAATGGGATTTGAAGCATCCTGGAAACCATTCTCCAATTTCGTGACCATTTTCTGGGTTAAATCATTAGAAGCTTCTATTGTTTTTTATGCTCTGAGCATTATATCTACTTTCCTAGATCCCATTTGGTGAGAAGCATGTGCTGGGGAGCCTTGCTTGTTTTTGTGCTATATGTAGATAATGAAGATCTTAGAAAGTAGATTTTAAGCTTATTCAACCTCATAAAAAATCAATTTATAAGATGATGTTTACACGAATATATATATATATATATATCTATTGAGGTGGCATATTTATGGGTGGTTTAGCAGCAATCGTATAGCGGGTAGAACAATATGTCTAAAAAACTTAGGATAAATTCTAAAATACCATCTTAAAAATTGAACTTTAAACTTAAATTGATTTTATAAAATTAATTTGTAAAATGAAATTTATATTTATTTATATATTATAATTTAGTCATAGTTCACCAAAAAGTTTCAATAGAAAGTGTCACGTTAAGTGGTTAAAGTCATGAATTAGGGATAATTTCAAGAATATCATCAACTGTGGCTAGAGAAATTAATCCAAAGCTTCAGCTTTGATATCCTAATTGTTTCCAATTCGAATTTCTCTGATTTCTGTAACATTTATTTTACAGCGTACCTTCAGCAGTAGTCGCAGGCGTTGCCATTTATGCCACAGAAATATATCACAGAGAATCGTCTGGAGCAGTGCAAAGACTGCTCTTCAGTAAGTATGATGCTGCGGAACTTGGTTCCTTATTCACGCCTGGAACATTTGTTGATGCCTTCTTCTCCTTAGATCCCTATGACTATCGGCAGAATGCTGGGATTAAATTAGTTGCCAAAAAATTGATCATTCATTGCAAATAGAAGGAAGTTTAAATTTAAGTATGGGATAGTTATTACACGCCAAGGTTGATAGATTAATTATTGGTTATGCTGTAAAGTTGGTTTCATTTCATGTTTGTAGTTCAACTGATGGTCACACCTTTGAATTTTCTGGTTACTCACTGATGTACTCACTCCATCTAGAATTACAAGATAAATATCCTCCCTTGGGGCAAAAGATAAAAATAATTAAGAAAAGAACATGGGATTATGGATTCAAGAAATGAACTTTTTGTGAAGTGAATGGCTAACTAACTAATCGTTTCTTTAAACAAAACTGATAATCTGAAATGGTTACGTAAGATATTTCTTCTCGTTTATTTGTATCGTCAGGACTAGAGAGCCCCTAAAGTTTTTAGTATTAAAAATCCCTAAAGATAACAAGAGGTGTGTTAAAAAATGATGGATAAAATATTTGTTGAAATCATCCGCTGGAAATCGTGAATTACTCAAGAGAGCACTATTCATCGCCCTACAACACCTTTTACCTCAACTCTAGCTCCCCAAACTCCATCACATTGTGGTGTTCCTTATCCAACAAGTTTCAGACCCACCAATACCGAAAATTGCAAAAGCAACCGAACTTCACCAAATGCGCATACAGAAAAAATGAACTAGAAATCACTTCAGCCATGGCTGCAAATTCCAACCTGAAAAACACCCACTTGAGCACCTCCGGCGGTCGGAATTGAGAATGAGCTCCGGTGTCTAGTCTCGGTGGTCCCAAAAAGTCCAAGTATAAGGGAAAAATGAATTTTTATTTATTTTTAAAAATCTGGTGGTTCACCCGTGAGGTACCTATTTTCACAACCAATGTTTACCTCATAGATAATGTTAAATTATTATTTTTATTGATGAAAAGAAACTAAAAAGAAGATAAAATAAAATAAGATAAATAAATAATAATATATAAATTTAAAAATAAAATATTAAATAAGTGATTTATATTTTTTTAATGATATCAAAATATCACCCCTGACGAGGTGAATTTAGATTTTTTATTTATTTAATTGTACAATAAAAACGTTATTTAATTTAAAATTAGGGTACTTGTGAGTTGTTTTGCATAGGAAAATGATCTCTTATTGGTTTATCCTGGCAAGCACTCGCAGCTCTTGGCGCGTTTGGATACATTAACCACCAAGCCTTTTGGGGACCAAGCAAATGCGCTATTGGTGATGATTCTGTAAACTTTCACACCTCCCTCCTGTCTTAGTGTTTGAGGGATTGTTGCTTATCCAACCAAACTTACTGTAACAAAACTATTTGGTCTATTTTGGATATTGCAACTATTGAGGATAAAACTCTTCATAGTTTAGTTTGCAACTAAAAATTAATCCATATTAAACTAAAAGTTTTAGAAAACTAAACTATAAATAGTTCTAAAAAACTAAACTAAACTAAACTAGTTAATTTTAATTATGAATTCAATTAAAGTATTTGCAAGTTTAGTTAATTATTTTTGTATTAAACAACTAAATTAAAGTGCTATAATTATTGAATATTAGAGTTATTAAACTATCTTTATATATTTTTTATTAACAAAACTATTATAGTTTCTTAACTCTACTTTTTTTCTGAAACTAAACGCAAAATTAATATTTCAATGAACATATAATTTTTTCTTAACAATAGACACATTGGAAAAAGATAAAAGGAAAATGAGTTTTGACTCCACGTTGGTTTTATATGATTATGATTTGCATAATTTGAGGGTATTGCATATAACTGACTACCCATTGCTTGGATATGTTTCCTTCTCAATACGCTTCTTCCTTTGATCTCAACAAGTCTCGATCAGAGGGAGCGGATATGATGACAAAGATATCATTTAATATTTAAGGCATTTATTTATATTTCTTTTACTAGTGACCATGAGAAAGATGAGATTATTGATTAGGTATCCATAACATGTCTATATTTTTTAAGAGTTTATTTTTTTTCATGTACTCACCATTCATTAAATTAAAAAGGACTCGAAATTTCATATATATTTCGTAAATTTTCCTGCAGCAAAAATGATAACCTCAATGAAAAAAGAACATAAATCGTAGATGTAGATCATATTTGTTCTTAATACAGCATGAAGTAGGTGGCTCACTTGACAAGAACACCATTCGTGGCTCCCAATAAAAGAACAAAGAGCATGATGAGTTAATTTCGTTACTGTGTCTAGCATTTGTTGGAATGCATGAATCTCAAAACTTGTTATCATGGGTGAAAAAAAGAGAAGAAAAGTTCACATATGCAGATTTGGGATATTTTGGTGAGATTGTGGCTGCATAAAATGAGGGAGATTTGGGAGTGACGTGGCTTTCTCTCTATCTCTAGCTAACTATCCACACCTCTAAACCCACTCATACCTATTTCTTTTCCACTTTTTCAGCTCTCTTCTCTCCATCCTTTCCACGTCACCCACTCTTTTTGCTATCCTACGCCCCCTTCTCTCCCCTTCATCAGGCGCACTTTAGCTCTTACCACCATCTAGTTTTTTCCTTCCCCAGATTGAAATCCCATTGTCAAGCACAAAAAACTCTCATGGTAGTTCTTTTCTCACTACTGGATCAGAAAAAGAAAAAAATGAGCTTTCTCTTTGTCTGAGCTGCTAACGTGTGCCGCCTGTGCCAGACTTTGGAATTTATCCCTGGTTCAAGGATAAGCATATATGAACAGATGGGTTTTGAATATCATGTGTCTTGATTGGGGTTGTGGTTGTGGTTGCAAGATTTGATTTTGAGGAGAGGTTTAGTATTGGTTTGTTGTTTTTTTAGTACAGGGAAGAGTGGTTACGATGGACGCTGGAACTGAGACTGAGGAACTTATTAATTTGAACAACAAAGCAAGTAACTGTGGTGGGAATGAAAGTAAAAGTGGCGATGGCTTTATTGACAGAAGCAAAGTGAGGATTTTGTTGTGTGATAACGATTCCAAGAGTTCTGAAGAGGTTTTTACTCTTCTTTTGAGGTGTTCTTACCAGGGTATGAATCCCCCTTTCCTTTTCTTCTTTTGGTGTTAATTATTGTTCTGATTAAGGGTGATATATAATAACAATTGGAAAGTTGTGAATATCGGTTTGCTTTTGTTTTGTCAAAAAATGTCGAATTGAAAAATTCTTTTCTCGAATGGTTAGTGATGTCAGAAATATGAAAGGATGATTTTGAATTGTTATATTATATATATTATTGAATTACTTGTTTTCATTTTGAAAATCAATTTGTGTAATTAGTCAAAATATTTGTGTTCGCTGGCTGATCCAAATTATTTTGCTTATCAACGTTTGTATACATGAAAGATGGTTCTTAGGGGAATATTTAGCTGCCATAAGCTTTTCTTAATCAGCCTGTTCAAGAGAGTTGCTTGCTGCAAATTTTGAAAATCTGACTGGTGTGGATATTTTATGCTTCACAGTTACTTCAGTAAGGTCAGCTAGGCAAGTAATTGATGCACTGAATGCGGAGGGGCAATATATAGACATGATACTAGCTGAAGTTGACCTTCCAGTAAAGAAAGGCATGAAGTTGTTGAAGTACATAGCAAGGGATAAAGAATTATGCCGAATCCCTGTTATAAGTAAGCCTTGATTCTTTATTTTCTTAAGGAAATTTGTATGACTCATTATGTTAGGCAAATTATATCATGTTCCTCATCAATGTTTTTATTTTTATTTTTGGGTGGGGGTTTAAGTGATGTCTGCTCAAGATGAGGTATCCATTGTTGTAAAGTGCTTGAGGCTTGGAGCAGCAGATTACCTAGTAAAACCTTTACGCACAAATGAACTATTAAATTTGTGGACACACATGTGGAGAAGGAGACGCATGGTATGTATTTCCCAACTTCTTATTTACATTGTGTTTATTCATATTATTATTGGTTTTTCACCTGCCCTTAAACATCTCTATTCCATGCTGATTTGAAACTTTCTTGTCTGTCGACTTTGATCATCTCTATTCCATGCTGTCAACTTTCATTTTAATAACCTTTAATTGGGACCTTGTTTACTATAGTCCCACTTTCAAATGCACGTTTAACTGAAGGCTAGACTCACAAAGGATTGACAATCAACTGAACATAATGGCAATTCAAACAAACATGCTCCTAGTGTTTAAGATTCAGATATTTTACATAATTTCATAGTATATGTAAATGAGTAAAGTATATGATTTGTATTTCTTAAGTTTTTTGGAAACCTTGGAGATTAATAGTAAAGTGTTTTTTAGGGAAAGGTACTAAGAAAAGCATTTTTATTAACTTATAAAATAGGTAATACTGAATATTTCCTGCTAACTATATTATTTGTAAATTATTTGTTGATAACATTGTTAGGTAAGTTAAAACTGAATCAAAGTGTTCGGAAAAGTATGAATTTATGATCAATGCATCTAACATTGATTAGTAGGTTCATTTTTCATGAAAATATGTTGCTTGGCTTCATCATATATGAATAAATGTGGAAAACATTGATTTAATAGTCATAAATAAACACAACTTCACATGGAATAATCATAATGGAAAATGGAATGTTGGTATAGTCCCCTGTTCTCTAGCTTGCTTCTTCACTGTCTATGTGCATTTGCGTCCCTCGACTGCATAACAATTTTTACTAAATTTCCAATGTTCAACTTAGATCTTCTCAACTTGAACTTGAAATTGATGTTCCTATTCTGGCAGCTTGGACTTGTGGAGAACAACATCTTGAATTATGAGTTTGATCTGGTAGCATCAGATCCAAGTGATGCCAATACAAACAGTACAACCTTGTTCTCTGATGACACAGATGACAGGTCCAAAAGAAGCACTAATCCAGAGACAGAGTTATCAATTCCAATAGAACAAGAGGTAAATGTTAGAAAACAATATTTAAGTAATAAAAGAAAGAATGTAATGGGTTTTAGAGTATTAGAAATTAATGAGCTTGTGCATCACCTTTAATTTAAATTGATTATGAGAAATCGTGTTTTTCTCTAATAAACTTTGAGCTTACTTCGCAAATTATTCAACCTTTCACAGTATATGATTTTTTGTAAGGAGACTAATAACTATTCAGGAAACACTTTTTTTTCAATAAAAACTATGGACTAGACAACTCACAACAACTATGTATAGAGCCAATTTGATTATGTATTGCTGCATGTAGAAAAGATTTGATGTGACCCTTGCATAGACCCAGTAATGCAGAAAGGGAGGGGAGAGTTTTGCATTTGTAAATGGCTGTATATATAGCATTGCACAAATGTTTTTTGGGCCAGGTGGTGTTTAAGATCTATCTGATTTACTGTTTATAATTGTAGATCAGAGTTGTAGTTACATGTTACATTATAATATGTGTATAGTATTTATCTTTTCAGGCTAGTATTGCCACTGCTGTTGCTGTTGTGGTGGAGCTTCCCAATGGTCTTGTATCAGAATATCAGCCTGATGTGCCTGGAATAAGTGATCGTCGAACAGGTCTGCTTCTTCTTTTCCTTTAGCCATTACTTTTCAAAATACAAAATTATATGACAATTTTCCGCATAATGCTTAGCTAGTTACTTCCTTTATATAACACATTTGCTTGAATGCCATAAAATGACCCAGATTTTTGCAAAACTTCAGTTTTTCCTATCTTTATGCCCTTCTTATAGCCAATTTTGGTCCATATATCTACTGTCCGATTTCTCAAGAAAATCAAGTAAATACTTTTTTGTTCACTACACACGTAGGTACTCCAAGGCAGCATCCATCATGCAGCAGAACTACTGATGGTAGTTTGCACGTGCACATCATATTTTGCCTTCTACAGTTATAATTTCAAAAATGGCCACAGTTTAAAAGGGATCCTAAAGTTGATTTCTCTCTGATTTTCCATAATTTTGCAGGACATTTTTCATCTGGTCCTAAGAAGAGTGAACTGAAGATTGGAGAGTCATCAGCATTTTTCACCTATGTCAAAGCAACAGCACTGAAGAGCAACACTGAAGAGAGTGCTCATGTTGACACTACTACTACTACTACAGAAGTTAGGGTGGAAGATGAAAATCAAGCATGTCGTGAACAGGAGGGTGATGACCTTAAAGCATATGAAAATGGAGAAATATTTGAAAACCACTCACCAGATGACTTACCCAGCAGCAACAGTATCCCTGATTCTTTCTCTATTGAGAGATCTTGTACTCCACCTGCATCTATGGAAGTTTCGCAACAAAAGCATTACAGGGAGGAACACTCTCAGGGAGTAGTGCATCCAAGAAAAGGAAGCCATGGTTCCGAGCCTGCTCAACATGCTTATCCATATTATATTTCAGGAGTTGTTAATCATGTTATGATGCCATCATCAGCACAAATGTATCAAAAAAACATCCAGGACCTGCGAAATCATTCTGGTTCTTCTATGATTGCACAGTACAATCATCTTCCCCAATGTCCTCCTCATGCAAGTGGGATGACATCCTTCCCATATTATCCAATGAGCATTTGCTTACAACCTGGTCAGATTTCTACAACTCATTCTTGGCCATCATTAGGAGGTTCAAGTTCATGTGAAGTAAAATTAAGTACGGTTGACAGGAGAGAAGCAGCATTGATGAAGTTTAGACAGAAAAGGAAAGAACGTTGTTTTGATAAGAAAATTAGGTATGTCAACAGAAAAAGGCTTGCAGAAAGGCGGCCTCGTGTTAGGGGACAGTTTGTCAGAAAGTTGAATGGTGTTAATATGGATCTTAATGGACAACCTGCTTCCACTGATTATGAAGAAGAGGATGGAGAGGAGGAAGACAACCATGTAGCAAGAGATTCTTCTGCTGAGGATGTTTGAGAATTTCAAATTCTTCCTTTGACCAAAGGATGAAGGACCAATTAATTCCTTTCTGCAGTAAAATTGTCCTGTTGAGGACATGAAACTGTTCCGGATTTTGATGGAAAATTCATGTGACAGCATTAGTGGACGAGCACGTGATGTCGATGTCTCAGGGTGAGGGATGCTGATCCAATTCCCTTCTGCACCATCCTCACCTCTTCATTTGGAGTTCAAACAAACTCTTGCTGAGGTCTCATAAATTTCATTTTCTCAAATGAATGATCCATCTATCTTCCTGAAGGTGTACCTGCTCTAGGTCGTGTCCAAGTGGTTGAAAAGTATCACACTTTTGTTTAATCAAAACTTTTGGAACTATTATCTGAAATTTACTGTCAAACAAATTTTACAACCAGTTCAAGCATATTCCGCTTCCTAGTTTTACTCTACAAAGTATTGTGTTATTAAACAAGTTTACAGTGGTAAAATCCAAGTTTGAAAGTAGCTGGTAATTATTTCACCGATACTGTTCTGTAGTAATCCAAATACATGTATAGGTTGTAGTTATGTACCCACTGTTGAGTGGAGAATGGAGATCAAACGAAATCCTGGACAATGTTACAATTCAAGAGTACTTCACTGCAAAGAGTATGTTCTTAGCTCTTACAACATTGACGCCTCTTCAGAGTACCTCTCCTCCTCATCCCTTTCTTCTTTTATTCCATTCTTCCTTCATGTTTCTATGGATTATTTTCACAGTAAAACAGGTTAAATCTCAAAACAAAATATAAAAGGATCCACGAAGAAAATGAAAAGTTACGCACCAGTTGAAATTAAATTGAATTGGTCATTACCTATTCAAGGTTTAATAATTTTGGTTGTTGGTCTCATTTTAAAAAAGAGACATCTTACTTTATTGATTTTAATACGTTTTTATTCTTTAAAATGTGTTTGGATATTTCTTTTAGTCGTTAATTAATGATATTTAGTTTCCGATTTTTTTTTATCCCAATTATTGTAGTAATTTTGTTAACTTGACATGCAGATAAACAAATGATGAACTTTTTTACAGAGAATAAATTAGGGTTCACTATTTTTACATCATTTTAGGAGTTACTGAACTGAATCAATAGATATAAAGATGAAATACAGAATATTTATTTTAAGAATTGAAAGTAAAAAAATATATTAATTAAAGACAAAAACAAATCCAAACATATTAATTTCGTAAGACTCCTTTAAATTATTTAAAATTGGGTCTATATAAATAGTTTCTGAAAGGAATAATTCCGTAACATGTTAATCTTTCCCTTTTTCGGAATTAGTAAGGTATAATAAAAAAATGTTGTTATGGATGTACGACAAACTTCATATATCTTCAGCCCCAACCTTATAAGTTCAATCTCGAACCCTAATTGAAAACACAAGGGGGTTAATCTGCAGTCCCTACAGTTTGGATTTTGTGGATGGGAGCAGCTTTTCTTCTCGCGTTAACGTACGGTTGGGGTTGATCATCCTTCACACAGCCCATGTGTCTGAAGATTTAGAGTTACAGAGCTGCATATCGCATGTTTGATGAATTTCAAGGATGAGATTCATGATGCATGTCTTGTTCAAACCTGCATGGAAACGCTGTTGGCTTAAAACTATGAGTACCCAGAATTTGCAAATACTTTCATTTTCTCATTACTCCACACTGCCGCCAATATCTGTCCCTCCCCCGTTGGAAGAGCTCTGCAGCATTGTCATCAGCACTGTTGGTGGGCTAGATGATCTGGAGTTGAGCCTAAATAAGTTTAAATATTCTCTAACTTCGTCCCTTGTAGCTCAGGCTATTGATTCTAGTAAGCACCAGGCACACACTAGAAGATTGCTGAGGTTTTTCTTATGGTCTAGTAAGAATCTGAGTCAAAGTTTGGAAGACAAGGATTACAATCATGCTCTTCGAGTTTTTGCTGAAAAGAAAGACTACATAGCAATGGATATTTTGATGGGAGATCTCAAGAAGGAGGGTCGAGGCATGGATGCAGAGACTTTTGGTCTTGTAGCTGATACTTTGGTTAAACTGGGAAAAGAAGATCAGGCATTGGGTGTTTTCAAGAACTTAGACAAGTATAAGTGTCCTATAGATGAATTTACAGTCACTGCTATCATTAATGCCCTTTGCTCCAAAGGGCATGCTAAGAGGGCTGAAGGGGTAGTTTGGCATCACAAAGACAAGATTACAGGCGCAAAACCTTGCATATATAGAAGTCTTCTTTACGGGTGGTCTGTGCAGAGGAATGTGAAGGAAGCTAGGAGAATTATTAAAGAGATGAAAACGAATGGGGTTATCCCAGATTTGCTATGCTACAACACATTCCTCAGGTGCCTTTGTGAACGGAATCTCAGACATAATCCTTCAGGACTAGTGCCTGAAGTTTTAAATGTCATGATGGAGATGAGGTCTTATAAAGTTTTCCCAACCTCTATAAGTTACAACATACTGCTTTCTTGTCTAGGGAAGACCAGAAGAGTTAAGGAATCTTGTCAAATACTCGAAACAATGAAAAATTCTGGTTGTGATCCTGATTGGGTCAGCTATTATCTTGTGGCAAAGGTGTTGTTTCTGAGCGGCAGGTTTGGTAAAGGGAAAGAGATAGTGGATCAAATGATTGGAAAAGGCTTGGTGCCTAACCATAGGTTTTACTACAGTTTAATTGGTATTCTCTGTGGGGTTGAAAGGGTAAATCATGCTCTTGAACTGTTTGAGAAAATGAAGACAAGTTCAATGGGAGATTATGGACCAGTTTATGATGTGCTCATTCCAAAGCTTTGTAGAGGAGGGGATTTTGAAAAGGGAAGAGAGCTTTGGGATGAAGCCACATCTATAGGCATCACTCTTCAGTGCTCACGAGATGTTTTGGATCCTTCAATAACAGAAGTTTACAAACCTATGAAACCAGAAAAAATCAGCCTTGTTGATAGCTCAATAGCCAAGTCTCCACGAAGAGTTACAAAATTTGTAGGAAAAACGAAGATGAGGAAAAAATATGCTGCAACGAAGAAGAAAAAAAAAAAGTAAAAAAGTCTACAGCAACTTAATTGTAAGTTTTTTACTTCTAGTTCCAGCTTTCTTCTGCCATTTTTCTCCAAAGAATAATTTGTTATTGCTGCTTGCTTTTAAAAGATTAACATCGTATTTTGTATTAATTGCTACAGGTTTGTGCTAATTAACTAAAAGCCGTGTTTATTGAATTAAACATCTTGCATGAAAATCTTTATAATCTCAGTTAAAACTGCATCTTATTCTGTTAGTTAGTTCATTAGCGACGCGTTTTGTGCCATATGACTTACCTGGGAGCATACACTGTATTTTATCAATAAACCTGGCCAGCTTGGCAAGGGAAATGTGCTTCTGGCATCTTGATTAAATTACAGGGGAAGGTTGATGCCTATATTTCCTTCTGCTGTTACTCCTTATTTTAAGAATTGCAGCTTGTTGCTGGCCAACATTTCGTTTTCATATTTGCAATTTCGTTAACATCTGGTTCCTCCAGTTTTATCTAATGCCCTATGTAGTCTGAATTGGGCAATTGGCATTCAACAGTGGGATGTAGGTTAATTATATTCACATAAAGAAAATCTGTTCAAGCATATATTACCTTGTATGAGTTAAAACACGTTTATCAAATTTTTATTTATCTATTTACTTTATTAGAATACTATATGGACATGTTGGAGTGTCAACAACAATGTCGATGGTTAGATACCGACACGTCTTCTTTTATCTGGTTTATGTACTTCCCTCATAGTTCATACCTTTCACGAGAATATGAAGAGAATAACTAATATAAAGTGCATTTCTCCGATGCTTCACCCTTCTCAATGATAGGGACTCGAGGATTATAGTTTTTTGTAGCGTGGTTCTCCCATGGACAAGGTTCTTATCAGTCAACTTCCCAGAAACTGTAAAACCCAAAACAGACACATTGTTTTCCTGTAGATTTTTCAAATTGCTTATCTTCTTTATTAATGAATTTCCTGTTTTTCTTACTCGAATTTTGAAATAAATTCTTCCACTTTCTGATCATTGGATTAATCTGGCCAATGATTTAGTTTACATCAACCTATCTTTGAATCTTCTTGTAATAGTTAGAGAACGTTGTGTTTGAACCAATACCATACTATGTATGCAGAGAAAGAGGAGCATATGGTTGGAAAAGCTTCCGTTTAAAAGGCATCTAGATTCAGAAATCACTTATTATACACAGTAATGGCACTTGCACTACCCATTGCACACTATCTCATGTTTATGTTTTTTCTCTCTGATAATACACTTTGTTTTGAGGTTTACTTTTGGTAGAAGTAAAATGCGTCCTTTTCCTATACGAGGTGCATGTACTATTTTTGAAACTATATTCCTCCAGGTAGGACAGTGGCAGAAGCTCATAACACAGTATTGCAAAATGGAGTTTCGGAGAGAGAGAGAGCGAGCACGAGATCAAGATCTGGAAACCCCCGCACATGGGTCATGGCACATTCAAGTTAAGCAGAGGAAAGGGACAAGAAGAAGGCGTGAATACGGGGATATTGTGCGGCCCATTTAGCCCTCACCCACGTTGCCAGTTCCCAATCTTCAATCTAACATTCCATCACAATGGAAGTGGATCCACGCGCTTCCTATTCACCTGTGTGGTTGTTCCCAGAAGATGCGAATAAGCAAATAACGCGTTGATAGTATCAAAACAGTGCAGAGACAAGATGGGTCCAATGCCAGAACGGCCGAAGCTGGTTTAGGCTCCATCTAGATGCATACTTACGTGTGCTGTAATTCATTTCCCCCTTCCACTTCTAAATATTCTTAATTATTACAAATTCTTTTTTACGGTCTGGGTTTGGGCATAACTCATTTTTTTAAATTTATTTATCTATTCTGCTTGGGATCATTTTTTCAACAGACTCGTGTCTGATGATGGCATTTTGTCTCTTTGAACTTGTCGGGTTCAGGAGTTCGTTGACTTCTCTTTTTAGCCGAACCAAATGTTGTTCATACATGATAAGACTACACTACACTTTTAACTTTTAACCATACCAAAATTTGATGTGTTTTACTGCACGAATTGTGCCCAATTTCCTTTATTCACAGTTTTTTAATCCATATTCCTAACAATTAAATTAAACTCACGGTTTCTTCAACCATTACTGCAAAACTAATCACTCATGATTGCCGTAATTTTTTAAAATTGACCTATTTTGTTTTTCTTCCTTATAAAATATGTGGAATTTAATTTTAATTCATATAAATTATTCATTTATCTCAATCTTTAAATATTTATTTTGCTCTCCCATATTTATTTTAAAGTACATATATAATATTTATTTTATCGATTTTTAGGTATTTATTAAGGTAATAATACATGGCCACATTATTATATTATGTGTTACTCAATTATTTAAAAAAATTTCGACACAGTTATTATATTATTAAAGACTAAAAGTGATAATTTTTTATGAAAAAAATAACAATTCAATAAAATTATAAACATTAATAAATTTAGCTTTCATGCAGTCTATTATAATTAAATAACTAATAGAAATAAAATAAAGTGACGTTGATGGATGACATGTCACTTACTTAATATCATCATCATCATAAAGTTAAATTTTGTTGAAATGGTGTCTAATTTCACATTCATTCAAATATATGGTTTTAGTTCTTTAAAATTTATAGTCAAGTGATTTTAATTTTCTAATTTTTGTTTGGTGTGTTGTAGATAGATATAAATTAAAAAGGAAATTAGTATTGTACCTTCATTCAAACTTTCGCCTCATCACTCTATGTTAGACCACTAGATAAAAAAATAAAAGTAGATAATATTTTTTTTATTCAATGAAAGAATGAATTGTTGGTATTATTGTATTTCCATAAAAAATAAAAAGTAATTTGTTTACTTATTTTATTTTACCTCTCAACTCCACTGGTGGAAAGCAATGGCAATCATGTTGGAAAAGAAAACATGTATTAAATATTAATTAACACAAAGAATAAGGGCATTATAATTATTATTATTTATTGATTTATATATTTATAAGTGATAAAGATATATGGAAAAACACGTCCTGATTTCTTTGTTTGTTGAAGCGACCTTGTGTTTCATCTCCTTCGGAGCAAACCAATGATTTTGTGTCAAAAGCTCGATCTGAGGAGACAAACACCCTCTGCTCTCTAGCCTCCACCCTTTATTTATGCAGCATTTCGCAAACCAAACCTTTTGCTGATTCCTTGCAGTTGAATTCCCCTAAATCTCCTGCCAACATGGGGCAAGAGAACCACCACAAGCGCAGCACCAGCGGCGCCAGTTTACCCACCTCCAACGCCCGAGGGCGCGCCACCGCGCTCCCCCGCGGCCGCCAGATCCAGAAGACCTTCAACAACATCAAGATCACCATCCTCTGCGGCTTCGTCACCATCCTCGTCCTCCGCGGCACCATCGGCGTCAACCTCGGCTCCTCTGACGCCGACGCCGTCAACCAGAACCTCATCGAGGAGACCAACCGCATCCTCGCCGAGATCCGATCCGACGCCGACCCCTCCGATCCCGACGACCAGCAACCCTTCAACCCCAACGCCACCTTTTCACTCGGCCCCAAGATCGATAATTGGGACCAAGAGCGCCAGAATTGGCTCCGTCAAAACCCTGAGTACCCTAATTCGGTCAGAGGTAAACCTCGCATCTTGCTCCTCACTGGTTCCCCTCCCAAACCCTGTGATAATCCTATTGGAGATCATTACCTCTTGAAGTCCATCAAGAACAAGATTGATTACTGTAGATTACACGGGATTGAAATTGTGTACAATTTGGCTCATTTGGATGTGGAACTTGCTGGCTACTGGGCCAAGTTGCCTATGATTCGGCGGTTGATGTTGTCGCATCCTGAGGTTGAATGGATTTGGTGGATGGATAGTGATGCTTTTTTTACTGATATGGTGTTCGAGCTTCCTATGTCTAAGTATGATGCCTATAATTTGGTTCTTCATGGATACCCTGATTTGTTGTTTGACCAGAAGTCTTGGATTGCGGTGAATACTGGGAGTTTTCTGTTTAGGAACTGTCAGTGGTCTTTGGATTTGCTTGATGATTGGGCTCCCATGGGTCCCAAGGGACCGGTTCGTGAGGAGGCAGGGAAGATCTTGACGGCAAATCTCAAGGGGAGGCCGGCATTTGAGGCCGACGATCAGTCTGCATTGATATACTTGCTGCTTTCCAAGAAGGAGAAGTGGATGGATAAGGTGTTTCTTGAGAATTCGTTCTATTTGCACGGTTACTGGGCAGGGTTGGTTGATCGGTATGAGGAGATGATTGAGAAGTATCACCCCGGGTTGGGGGATGAGAGGTGGCCGTTTGTGACGCATTTCGTGGGGTGTAAGCCGTGTGGGAGCTATGGAGATTATCCTGTGGAGAGGTGCCTCAGTAGCATGGAGAGGGCTTACAATTTTGCTGATAATCAGGTGCTTAAGCTTTATGGGTTCAGGCATCGTGGTCTGTTGAGCCCCAAGATCAAGAGGATCAGAAATGAGACTGTTACTCCTTTGGAGTTTGTAGACCAATTTGATATTCGAAGGCATTCTTCAGAAAGCAAGGAAGTAAAGAGCTAGTAAGAAAGATGTTGTTGTTCAATGGTGGTATTATAGACAGTAATTATTTAGAGTGGAATTTCATTTGGGGACAGTTTACCAGTAACTTCTGCTTTTTCTGTTGTCTTGGTACTTCTTTTGAGAATGATAGGATAGAATTCTTTCGTAACTTATCTTCTGTCTTCCGAGTTTGAGCAACCAGCAAACAAATTTTATTTACTCATCTACTGTATACTGAGCTTCTTTAGTATTTGAGCTTTTGTGACATTATATGAATTCACGAACTTAATTAATATACTTCCATGTCCTCTTGATATTGTTGTGATTTGTAACATGAGGTAACCACCAATGTATGTTTCTATTTCCATTATATTTGATATGCAGATCGTTAATGTGTGTCTCCAAATTCTAAGAGAAAGCAAAGGAAATAAAGGCATGATCTTCGACAATGGAAGTGTCTAACAGTATGCCTGAATGTTTGGACAATGCTTTGGATTGATGACCCTCGTGATAACAGTGAATCCAGAATGTTAGGAGTGACCTTTGACATGTAACAATAGGATAAATATCTTATACCAGACACCGACATATTTTAACTGCGACACTGTTTTTTCTTGGAGCCGGAAAATGTATTATTTCATCATAGTGACCGATAGAGCGGCGTGATATGTGATTATCATATCTCACGAGGAGCTGCTTTCTTACACGTTAATGTTAGATAAACCTTGTATTTTCTGTGCACTTTACAATTATGGATGCAAAAGTAAACAAGATGAACCTTGTATTTTCTTGACAAGTTGTTTTCACCTTCCAATAATTTTTTCTCTTCCCATTCACTAGTATCACAGAGCTAAAGAATACAAATACTTGGGATATGTTATCATTCATGGCTGATGAGTAAAGAATATGAACATTATATTAGTAATAATATGCGACAAATGTATCAATATTAGGCACTATTTTTTATCATAACCTCGTTGTCATTTGGGGAAACTATACGCTTACTCCAATAATTGAGTGTTAACGAGATTTACATAAATTTTCACTTAACAAAAAAGTATGTATATAAAGGAGTGTGAAAGTACTCTTGCGGTTCTGAAGGTGATGGTAACTCACAACACTCTAATTTAGTTGAAAGCTTTTAAGAGATTCCTAACATCATTGGAAGCTTTTAAGAGATTCCTAGCATCACATGACTTGTTGCCTCTCGTAGAAGGTGTCACGTTTATTGTACTAACAAATACTTGCACAGTTATGATTTGGTTAAAAATTAAGTAGCCATCGCATTTTTTTTCGTTATGTTATGTAGATTGTATTCCTAAGGTAGTAATGTCATTATCAGTCTTTCTACATGTGATTATCAGTTAAATTTTTGTTGCATTTTTTTTTAATAGATGAATAGAAAATGAAATGAAAACCTGAAATTGCGCGTGAAAAAGATTTTTAAGACTTGAAAATGGTCATCCGGTTATTGTCATGGACCAAAAGTTGCCCTTTAGTTGGGTCAAAAGTACCCTTTGCCTGGTCCGGCGGGCTTCGTTGGAGGGGGTGTGTTGAAAGTCCCACATCGCCTACCTCATGTCATTTGGTATGGTTTAAATACATGTTAGGCTACTCCACATATTGCCAATTGGTTTTATGTTGAACCTTAACAGTCATGTTATATTCACTTAACGCTGTAGAATGACAAGTCCTTGGTTGTTATATGGCATGCAGCTCAAATAATAATAAATAAAAGAATCGGATTTTCCACAAGCTCACCAAATATGGTTGAGCCATTAAGTTAACATCAAGGGCCTGAACAAATGAAACATGGCTAAAAATCTAAAGCATAAAGAACCTTGTTGAATAACCATTAGAGTGTTCAGCCATCTTCCCTGTCATCTAGTCGCTGAAGAATCATAAGGAGTGGAGGATTTTATTAGTCAGAGTAGACACTTCATTCCTCACCGATTTGTTTTGGAGATGCCAGTTCTGAGTACATGTTCAATCACTCAGCTGCAGCAGGAACATGTGCGAAGAACTACAATCAGTTTTTGTCAATTACAACCCATCTCTCACATCCAGAATACAAGTAAATTTGGAAATGCACACGGAAGCAGTGATATTTCAAAATAGAAAGAAGATAATAGCCGCATCAGTGTAGGGTCCCTTGGTCCCTGTTCCTTGCGAATGTGAACTACCAACCATATTCACAACTTTTAGGCAATCATTAAGCCACTTTTGCAGCCAGAGCTTTGTGACGATCTATAAGTATTTCATTCAATTGTGCAATCTGGTGCAATAGTTGGGCAATTTTCTGTAATCAGAAGTAACCAGAAGTTAGAAACTAAGGCCATAGCAACGAAGAATTAGACAATAAAGTGTTGAAAAGTGTCTATCATCAAGAAAACGAATCTATTGAAACCAGAGAGAAAAAACATGAATGCATTAGCATAGATAATCAATCAGTCATGTGTACATACACATCCAATGTTTGAATGTAGTCAAGCACAAGGAAATGCCTTGATACAAAGCCAAAATTAGTTTAACCCCTCGTTTGGGCAAACAAGGTAAGGTCATTTTTTATTGTAAGTTTCCTCCACTCCACTTGCAATATGACTCCTGAATCTTTCTTGTTATAGTAGAAAACTGTTTTGACTTAAATTTATTAACTTTGTTAGGTTCACTTCAATCCAAGTATTGTTTGTTTCAACTCGGATGAGTTTTTACACTTTCATTCATTAAATGGAAGATTATGGTGCTCATAAAATTCCTTTAACCTTGATTCTTAATCAATTTGAGGCTTTTTGGTGGGACGAAACATAGCAATCACGTGATTAATGCAATATATTCCATGCCAACACAACAAACACACTACTGTTGTCTCCTTCAGGTTTTTTTAGCCTTAACTTGACTTCACTGTCCTCCGATAAACTTATAATACCCACACAAGGTTATTATACATATACTAAAGCATTTAATTTCATTTGAATAATCATGATAAGATTGATGGCAAGAAATTTCATTTAAAAAACCATAAAAATCAGGAATTTTTATTAAAGAAAGGGAGAAATGAGCGAACCTGTTCTTTTTGCTTGATGATGGTGATGAGACGAGCTTCATTGGGTCTGAGGGTTCTGTTCTTCCTGATGGTGATAATGATCCAGCAGGACATTAGCAGCGCCACAGCGGGCACTCCCATTGACCAAATTGCCCCTCTGTTCGTGAAAGAGGGAAGCTTTGAACGCAACATCTGGAGGGCGATACTGGTCCAGCCGCGAATGCGAGAATGGAAGGGTGAGGGTGAGGGTAAGGTTGAGGAGGAAGGAGGTGATTGAAGGCTGTGTTTGTCTGAATGTGGTGAGAGAATTTGGAGGTTTTCGTGGTGGATTGGGGGAAATACCAAATCGTGCTTGTTACTGTGGATTGAGCAATCATTTGGATTTGGAAATGGTGGAAGTTGAGGATCCACAGTCACCATCCTTCTTCATTCAACTCAGGAGTCACAATTGGGTTTATTTTCTTAATTTGCCATTTTCTTCCACTGCTTTCATAAGCTCTGTAGTGAGGGTATTGCTTTCCCTAAAATTTGAATGTCAACAACAAGCACAGATAAAATAATATATCAATCAATCAATTTTATGGTAATTAAATTATAAATAGGTAACTACTATAACTATTATATTATTCTATATTATTATGATCTAGATAATTATGTATTTTTTATACTTTTATATATATATATATATATATATATATATATATTAAATTGTATTTTACTTTTCAAATATTATGAAGAATGATTTTTTTTAACATGTTTTAATAGATTCTGAACATTGATCTTGTCTCGAAGTGAATATAATTTATTCTTTTCCAAAACATAATCTTTATATTTGTAAAAATAAAAGCAATGGTCATAGTTAATATACTAATTTTATGTTTTTTTTTAAGGCTGAATATGTGTATTAGGAAACATATTTTAAAATATACTAAAAAATAGTAATTTACGTACATGCCGCAAAATTTGCATAATAAATATTACTATTAGTAATATTTAATCACAATAATATTTAGCAATTTAAAAAATATGTATTTAAATAGATGTTTTCAAATTTGAAACCATATTATGGTTGCATAGCAACAGGCGAAATAACATTTTTGTTTCTAAAACTATTCCGGTTTGGTGTTGTTATGCAGTTTGCACCTGCTCATTGATGAAATCTGAAATTATTTCAGGACAAACGTTAGTGGCATCGTGGGGTCTAACGAACACCTCGCTCTGATTCATCATCACTTTTACCGATTCTAACAACATGCAACCAAAACTTCTTCTTCTCCCTCGTTTCACTACAAACAAAACACCCTCTCCTGTTCCTCCAACTGCTGCATGCACCCTCTTCGTACCATAAAGCCATTTTTCCTTGTTTCCATGTACCTCCATCTTTATCTCCACCCCTCCTCCCCCTCATTATCCAACCTCACCAATGGATGAGAACAAAGGAATCAGAGTGAAACCTACTTTTCTATTTTTCGCTCTTCACCTTTTACTTTTCACCCTTGCCAAATGCGACTCTTCTTTCCCACCTCAGGTCAACTATCTCATTGATTGTGGCTCCTCTCACCCCACTCAGCTCACAGATGGAAGAACCTTCAAATCTGATCGTGAAACCACTTCTCTCCTAGCCACAGCTGAAGATGTGCAGATATCAGCTGACTCCAGTCTCTCCCCTTCTATTCCTTCTTCATTACTTCCTTTGTATCAAACTGCAAGAGTTTTTCAAGAGGAATCCACCTACTCCTTTTACCTATCCAAAACTGGTAGACTTTGGGTTCGTCTCTACTTCTTTCCTCTCTCTAACCCTTCACGTAACCTAACAAGTGCTGTTTTCTCTGTCCAAACTAATCACCATGTGCTCCTGCACGAGTTCTCTGTGAGGAACAATGACTCACCTGTTTTCAAGGAATACCTTGTCAACGTTTCTGATAGTAGATTCTCACTCAAATTCATGCCCAAAAGAAACTCCTTTGCGTTCATCAATGCCATTGAGATTGTCTCCGCCCCTGACAATCTTATTTCAGATTCAGCAACTGCACTTTCCTCACTTGGAGAATTCAAAGGCTTGTTGACATCTGCTCTTGAAGTATCCTACAGAATAAACGTTGGCGGTCCCACCATAACTCCTGACAATGACACTTTGTCAAGAACATGGGAAACTGATGGTTCATACAACATCTTCCCACAGGGTTCTGAGGCCTTTTCTGTCTCCAGCAAAAGCGTTAAGTATCCTCATACTGGGGTTACACCTTTGATTGCTCCAAACTTGGTTTATGCAAGTGTTGTGCACATGAAGAACGCTAAATTCATGCAACCAAATTTCAATCTCAGTTGGATGGTGAACGTGGAAAGGAGCTACTCTTATTTGATAAGAATGCATTTCTGTGACATTGTGAGCAAGAGTCTTAATCAGTTATACTTCAATGTGTACATCAACGGGATTGAGGGTGTGTTAGCTTTGAATCTATCATCGCAAACCAAAGCTCTAGCAACTGCTTTTTACCAGGACTTTGTATTAGATGCATCGGATATAACAAACGGTTCCATATTGGTTCAGGTGGGACCAACCAATCTCCTACCAGGCACGGGCGATGCAATTCTCAATGGAATTGAGGTGATGAAGATTAGCAACGTGGCAGACAGCTTGGATGGTCTCTTCTCTGTTGATGGGAAATACAAAGGGCCAAATTCAACAACCATGGCAATGGAAATTTTGGCTTATGTTGGACTAGCATTGGCTGTGTCAACAATGTTGTTGATAGTAATAGTTTGCATAATAAGGTGGAAAAAGAGGCCTCAAGGTTTGGGAAACCATAATAGGTTCTCATCATGGCTCCTCCCTATCCATTCACCTATGTCGATGTCAAGCAAAAGCAGTTGCCGAAGCTCAACCACATCCAGTTCCCACACGAGCAAAAAACGTGGCCACTTTGTCACCCCACAAGGACCCGAAAGGTTCTTCCCCTTCAGTGAATTGCGAAAAGCCACCAACAATTTCGATGAGAAGAGAGTGATTGGCGTTGGAGGCTTCGGGAAAGTGTATCTTGGAACGTTGAAAGATGGGACAAAGGTTGCCATAAAACGAGGAAGTGGTAGTTCAGAACAAGGCATGAATGAGTTCAGAACAGAACTAGAAATGCTGTCAAAGCTACGCCATCGCCACCTCGTCTCACTGATGGGTTTCTGCGATGAAAATTCAGAGATGGTTCTTGTGTATGAGTACATGGCTAATGGCCCTTTCCGTTCCCACCTCTATGGCTTCGACCTCCCTTGTTTGTCATGGCAAAAGAGGCTTGAAATATGCATTGGTGCAGCTCGTGGCTTGTACTATCTCCACACCGGCGCAGCTCAAAGCATCACACACCGTGATGTGAAGACAACAAACATCCTCTTAGATGAGAATTATGTTGCCAAGGTTTCTGACTTCGGTTTGTCAAAGGCTGTGCCAGAGAAAGGTCAAGTTAGCACAGCCGTGAAGGGTAGTTTTGGGTACCTTGACCCTGAGTACTATAGGAGCGAACAACTAACTCAGAAATCTGATATATACTCTTTTGGGGTAGTCCTATTTGAGGTACTATGTGCTAGGCCAGTTATTTGCCCAACACGTCCAACAGAGGAGATTAACTTGGCTGAATGGGCAAAGAAACAGCATAGAAGAGGAATGCTTCGTGAAGCAATTGATCCACGTATTGTTGCGACTATAAATCCTCAATCGCTGACTGTTTTTGTGCAAGTTTCTGAGAAATGTTTAGCAGATTGTGGTGTTGATAGGCCTAGCATGGGGGATGTGTTGTGGCATTTGGAACATGCTTTGCGCCTACAAGAAGCTCCCTCAGGGATTGATGAACTGAGAATGTGAAAAGGAAGTCTTATGTTAAATTATGTTAAATTAAATTGTATATTAGTGTTTACTTTTTTTATTATAAAAAGGAGTTTATCTTCAAAATTACTTTCAATCTCTTTTTTATTTTTTATTTTTCAGTTAAGTTTATTATTTATATTTTTTCTTTTTCATTGCATAATAGTTAAGTTTATTATTTACGAGAGAAAATATTATTATTATTTTTTCATTAAATTTAAAGAGAGTATTATAATTTTTGTTCGGTAGTAAAATTTTATTATTACTTATTATTTATTTTATTTCTCTTTTCTCATATTTTATTTTAGTTGTCAGTTCTTATACAGTTACTTTATTTCTTAACAGGGGTATAATTGTGAGAATATGAGAAGAAAAGTCTCATATTAGGCAAATTATATATATTAAAGAAATTATATGTTGGTGTTTACTTTTCTTGTTATAAAAGGAGTACCATGTCTATTTTGGGAAATCACCCTAAATCTCTTTCTTCTCATTTTTACTAGTGAATTACATAGTAATTAAGTTATCTTATTTATGAGAGAGAATATTATTATTGTTTTTTCCTAAGATTTAAAGAGGGTATTTCTCATCTTTTATTTTAGTTGGGAGTTCATATGTAGTTACTTTGAGAATCTCCCTGCTGTTAGAATAGTGTTGGAGAAAATTCTTAGTATTCTCTATGGTTGTGGTTAATTTGATCTTCGACATATTGGACTTGTTTTTTTTTTTTTTTTGTTGGAATCGTCGGTATTATCCCTAGGAGCGGCCAAATATGGACTATGCTAACAATGTGAAGGGGTATTTTTTGTGAATCCCACTATCCACAAGATTATTGTTAGCGGTGATACAAATATTATTTTTCTTCAAAGTGAACTTAGAGAAATGATTGATATACTCCAACCAGAAAACTTAAAGAAAAAGGAAACTTGGTTTGTAAGTTGATCAAATCTCTTAACGGTTTAAACCAGGTGTTCTGATGTTAGTACGAGAGATTTGATTATTCATGATTAACCTTTATTATAACAAACTAAGTTCAGACTATTGTACATATTACAATAGATTTGATAAGAATGATTTTATCATTTTGTCGTGTATGTGGTAGGCTCCAACAAAGTTCGAATCCAAGTTTTGAAGACACAGTTGGCTAGGAAGTCTGATATGCAGAACTAAGAACCAACAAACAAGATTTTAGGAATGCAAATTCACCGAGGCAGAAAAGATAGGAAAGTATGACTTTATTAGAAGAATTACTTATTGAATGTCTTGCAGTGCTTCAACATGCAAGTGTGTAAGCCAATTTTACCCCATTTTCTATTAAGTTATTTTTAAGTATGAGTCTTAACAATGAAATAGGGAGGATGAAAATGTCTCGAATATTTTATACATTGATGGTGAGAAGTATTATACCATGACCAGTACAAGATCAGACATTGCACAAATAGTGAGAGCGGTTAGTAGATAATGGAAAATTGTGATAGAGAGCATGAGTATTATCAAGAGAATTCTTATCAAAGGAACTTTGGATGTTGTATTATGTTTCGGAGGATCAAAATTAGTTGTTAGATGCTATGTTTGTTCAAGTTTTGCAAGTGATATTGATGAGTTTACCTTTATTGGAGAGACAATGATTGATTATCCAAGTTATAAGATGTTGTAGTTTTGTTTATCACAGAAATTGAATATTTGGCAGCCAAAATCTTTAAGTGGGAGATTGTGAGAATGTGAGAAGAGAAGTTCCATATAGGGAAATTATATATTGGTGTTTATTTTTCCTATTATAAAAAGATCAACATGTCTATCTTGAAAATCACTTCAAATCTCTTCTCTCTTCTTTTTATTAATGCATAGTAATTGAATTCTCTTATTTATGAGAGAAAATATTATTATTTATTTTTTCGTAAATTTAAAAATGTATTATAATTTCTTTAGATAATAAAATTATATTATTATCTATTTTATTTTTCTTTTTTCATCTTTTATTTTATTTTAGTTACGGAGGACAAAAGCACAAGTAGAATCTTGTGCTTTGTTTTCTCATATGGACAACTTAGAGGGAAGATGAAGTTAGATACATACGAATTCCAAAGCTAGTTGTTTCCAAAAGGATAACATTCAATTCTTTGGTTCATGAACATACAAAAGAATCAAATTAATGCCGATATAGATTATGGAAAAAAACTACTGTGACACCACTATCAACTTAAACATCCCATTAACTACATGTTATATTATAATTTTTTTTAAACCTTTTAATGATTATTATATTAATAAAAGTTGATTGTTTGGTTTGAAGAGTGTCAAAATATCACCCTCATAGATTATCTTTCTAAAATTAAATTAATTACAATATAATTGATTTTTTTTAATAGTGATCAAATTAAGTACGATACAAATCATCATTTTTAAATTAAAAATAAATCAATTACCACCAAAAAAATTATAATACTAGTCTAACTAAATTACCTTGTTTTATGAGAAATTGAATTAATTATGATATCAAGTTATATTAAAATTATAATTCGATTACTACTAAAACGCAACTTATATCTCATTAAAATGATTCGTGTCATTATAAATTCAATTATTACTAAAGCTAATTTATAATATAATTAATTTAGTTTTAGTTAAAAGATAAATTTTTAAGAAAGTAACAACTTGTTATACAATATACCATATAAATGTGTTTCTAATTCTATTGTGATGTCATCCCATATATAATTGCAACATATTTTTTATAAATTTAAAAAAAAGGACTAATATTAGAAAAAAGCATGATGTGAAAATAGCAAAGCCCTAAAGACCCATGAGGCCATAGGAGAGGATAGAATGAATCCGTCAAAGAGCAGCCTACAGCCCAGATACAAAAGAAGCTGATGCTTCCTTACACCCCTTTTTTCATCCTCCACTCTCTATTCATTTAAAAACATAATATCGGCCTCTACAGTAGAATTACTTTTGGATCCACCAGAAATTTTTTTCAAAAACAGCTTTCTGGAAACAATATAAATTGAACTTTCCTTATGCCTTTCCAAGGCATTTCACAATAAGTTTTTCTTAGATATTTCAAATTCACATTTTTAGAAGCATAATCAAATCATCTTTCCGGAAATATTCTAGAATAATTTTTCCAATTAGGTTGAAGATTTTATAATTCAAAATTTATATAATTTATCAGTAGTGATAATATTTTAATATATAAATAAAATATAAATTCTCACTTTATAATTTGATTTTGCAGGATTAAATAATGTATTTTTTATTTCTAATAATATCATAATCAACTTTATTAGTATTAGGACTAAAATCTAATTCAATGTGTGGGATTATAATGAAATTTGTCTTTTATGTACAGGATGCTAATGAAATCTCTTAGGTGAGAGATGATGAAATCTCAAATATTAATTAAAATTACAATAATATTATACTGTAAAGGTCTGATAAAAAAATCCTCTTAAGTTACTTTTATAGGATTAAGTTAAATATTTCTTTATTTTAATATATATCAACTTTAATAATGTTAATCTTACATAAATGTGAATGATATTGATGAAAAATATTTCTCAATATTAAAAATTATGATTAATAAAATCGACAATAAATATAATAATATTATAATATATATTTAAGATAATTTATTTTATATTAGATATTTTTTCTTTTAAAAAATCATTTGTTCTTGATTTTTTAATTCAAAATTTTAAAAAATTATATGTTTTGACGTCTATTTTATTTGAAAGTTTTTCGAATTTGACTATTCATAATATTTTAAAATATACTTCAGTACCACTAATTTCATAAAACTAATAAATATTAAAATATAATTATATAAAAAAATAATATGAAGGTATAATTATATAAAATAATATAATATATTTGAAATATGAAATACTTATTCACGTAAATTACATAATATTCATGGATTTAGTTATTCATTTACACGTTTTCTATAAATAAAATTTAAATTACAGTATTATATTCATAGCTAAAACTACAATGAATAAATAATAAATAAATTAATTTCTAACATAAAAATGAAAAATTGAATAATTTAAAATTATATCAACAATTTTTATTTGGCTACTTTAAAACATGTTTTATGAACAATAACAATTACAAACAATTTCTTCAATACAGAGTTAAATTTTGAAAAAGTTCAAAATATCTTATCCAAATCAATAATTAAGGATGAAAGGTGAAGTATAAATCAGTAATATATTTATATGATTGTTAATTTATGTATACTACATTAATATAAATTTATATTACAATATGTTTATAAACTATTTATTTAAAAGGGTAATGAAAAATAATAATTTGTAATGTACATTACTATCTCTAAATTTAAAAGGGTAATTAATTTATAAATTTTATTAAATATAAATACAGTCAAATGTAACGAACATTGATTAAAAAAATGAATAGAAATTAATTTTAGATTTGCTACTTAATACTTGTGCTGAAGTCAACAATTGCTTAGTATCAAATTGTCAATGGCCTATCAATTAAAAGATTGGGAAGAATTGAATGTAACACTCTCTATGCATAGAGTTAAGTATCTCCAATAAATGGTACATTCCAATGCCGTTACGCAATGCGATTGATCGTTAATCATTTTATTTTATTTGCCACACATATTAACTCCATTGGAATGTATGTCAAAATGTGCCAAACCCATGGAAATTTCTTCATGCCAAATTTGTGATGTTGAAAGAGATAACGTTACTCGTTAGGTTAGGGCATCCCATCCCACCATATTCATACCCAAAAAGTTGGGTGATATATTTTTCTTCAACATCACCAACACTTGCTAGAGTTTACATTTCAGGCATTATTTAGTGTGATTAGTAGGTCTAAAATTGTACCCTTTTTCTTTAATATCGTTTAGATTGGTTTTTAGACAAACATGATATTTAAAAGAAAGTGATTAGATTAATTTTAACTACAAATAAAAGGAACCGACACTTTGTTTAGTGTAAATATGGTGGTCTTTTTATAATGCTACGTTTGAAATATTTGTGTTTTTGTCTTCTTAACGTTTCCTTTTTGTTTTTCCTTCACATAATGAGAAAGAAAGATGTCCGAAGCCAAATGTCTATTATTTTATATTCAATCACCTAATTGCAATTAAATTTCAGTTGAAATGTCAACAAATATGTTGACATCTTAACAAGGAAAGAAAGTATTACCAAAATAATTAATATTGTTTAATGGGATAATATTCCATTGTTTAATGAGATAATACACCCATTAAACAACTTGTACCGAAAATTACAAGGTCAAACTAGTTTAGCGCACCAACTAAATCATTCATACTCACTATTCATCATGTTGTGTCTCTTGTTCGTTGGTCATCAATGGCCTCAACTGTTGATAAAAAAGTTTAACCCACATCAATCATATCCTAATTCCATACTCTTCCCCCTCACATCCAATTTGTGTGGCATTTTAATTTGGCACGAATAATTAGCTTTGTGTGATATGCATGTGATTCGACGTTGAATTGAACGTCTAGATTTATGGATACATCATGTTGCTAAGGGTTTCTTTCCTCCAATAATTGTTCAGGGAACTGGAACCATATTTATATATCTTACTGCTATTATTATTGATATTGATATTTTTTTTTTGTTATTATTAATATTATGGTATAGCTTACAAGCTACGTATTGCTGAGTTATTATTATACAATGTGAAAAAGTGCCAAATTACTAGTTTATGACAATGTTCATTGGATGTTACGGCAACTAGGATTGAATTCTATGCTCCTTCTTCGTCAAGTAATAGATTTTACTTTATATTTTCCACTCATGTCATAAATTAATCTCTTGAAAATTTTTAATGACGCTTTAATTACAAGGATAATGGTAGGGCCAACATCGAGTGTTTCCTAATTCACTTTGTCATCATTTCTATTATGTTTTTAGGACTCCGAAAAGGGTTGTGGCCAAAATGATAATATAGCAAATAATGTGCAATTTAAGCAATCTAGAAAGAGAAGAAGCTGCTCTCATTCATCATCAAGACAAAAACAAAAGACCTGTCATACCAAATTCCCCTTTGGCTTATTGTTAAATGCTAATAAATTAAATCTTGACACCAAGGAAAAGGTGCTATGCTTAATATGGTGGGATTCGTAGAACACAAAGCAAAAACCACAATGTGTCCAAAGCCTCTGGTAAAAACAAAGTCCAAACACTTCCACCTTATAGCAGTCGTTAGTTTGTTCTTGTTGGCCTATCTATTAATTCAAAACACCAACCCTTGAACTCTCTGACCTACCGTTTCCAAAAGAAAAGGCAAAGCTCATTTAAGAAAAGCTAGGACCGAAAAAGAAACACCAACACCTGGCTCTCGACACTTTTGATGAGTATTATAGAGTCCATATTGGTGAGAACTGAGAAGATATCCAACAAATCCCCCATTCCTTCTCCCTCTAGTGGCAAGCTTCCAAAAGATCAACTCCAAATGGAAGTTTCATGCAAGATTCTCAGAAGATCAACTCACAGTTTTCTCCAAAACTATCATTACTTCACTTCAACAGCAGCTTTTCTAGCTTTTCCTTTCTCAGCTTCCATACTCCTCTCCCAAGCTTTAGTCCCTACCCCTTCGTCCCTCTTGCCTCAAATCTACAGCCGCCTAAGGATTCTCTTTGATGCTGCAGGCTTCCCTTCATCTTCTCAATTGTTTAGCATTCTCAACCTCAAGGTTTCTCAAACAATCACTTCTTCAATCTTCACCCTTCCTTTCACCCTCACTTTTCTCCTCGTTGCAAAAGCATTCGTAATCCAGGCTCTCAATCACCATAAACCAACTTTGCAGCCTTCCTTCAGTTCAATTCTATCCCTTTACAAGCCCCTCCTCCACACCTACTTCTGCAACTGTTTCTTGATTCTCTCAGCAAATGCAACTACTTTTGGTCTCATGTTTTTGGCCTTCAGCTTCATTGAAAGACTTGGCCACTCTTCCCCTGGTAAGCTCATCCTCTTTATGTCAGTATCTGGAGCAGTTCTCTTTTCGGTGATTCTTGCCAATGCTCTTGTCATATGCAACATGGCACTTGCTCTATCTGGCATGGAGGGACATGGTGGATACCTGGCAATTCTGAAAGCTTGTCTTCTCTTACGAGGAAGGACATCAATGGCTTTGTTCCTGGCACTTCCTGTCAATGTGGCATTGGCAGCCATTGAGGCCTTGTTCCAATTCCGGGTTGTAAGGCCCTATCACATTGCTGGAATAGCAGGGCCTTGTGTAGCTTTGGAGGGGATTTTCATTGCTTACCTCTACTCAGTCTTCATCATCCTTGACACAATTGTGAGCTGCATGTTCTACAAAAGCCTTAAGACAGGATCTCGGATCCATCAAGACGACAAAGATTTGTTCAGGATTGAATTCCAAGATGAAGACAAATATGGTTACATGGGCACCGGGGAACTACCTTAATTAGCATAAGGTAGCAAATTATTAATTTGGTTAAGGATTTTCTTCGCATTTCATGATGGAGAGAGAGAAACCAGTTATTTTAAACGACTGTAGAAGGAAATTACAAAATTCATTGATGTTGCTTGAAGGAAAGAGCAACTTTGAAGACATAAAGATTTTCAATTGAGCAACCTCAGCTCAGCTCTGTGCAAAGACAAAGAAGCTAGAGATTAGTACACCATTTGATATAAATGCAATGCAATTATGTTATATTCTCAGACCCCGTTTTTTCTTTTAATCTCTTTAACGTTGTAGATTAGCGAATGGCAATCTTTTACAGTGTGAATATGCAAATGCTTGCCTTTAATTGCCTTCTCTGTGTGCATCTGTCACTGGTTTTCTAGTGTTTTTCATCAAATGGAAAATCAACAATGATTTCTCGGGCCTTTGTGCCCAAGTACTACCCTTAGCTTCTTAACACGTGAAGATGCAAGCTAGAATGGCAAAGTAAATTCCTTCCCCACCACCAATACCATCCCTTCCATAAACATAATCCAGCAATTGTACCTTGACGAACTAGCATTAGGCCTGTTCTAAAATATAATCAAACAATTCTGAATGACCACCCCAAATGAAGATTCATATGAAGATACAAGTTACAACTGCTCAGGTACACCTCCGGACAGTACCATTACCAGATCCACTATCTCTGAATTTCTCGGCTTTTATACTCCTCAAATGTGTGCGCATATAAATCCAATGTGGTAAATTTCATGAGCTCCTGGGGAGAACAGAATGTGATAAAAACATTTCACATTAAAAAAGAAACTAGCATTTCTAATTGGCCTGCTTCTCTTAAGCTACAGTTACACAATTGCACAATTCCATAATCTTGGTCTGGTCCACAATTCCTATCATGTGATGAATCACATATAAATTTGAATCTTATGCTACATGCAAGGGTGAATAACAGAGATTCCATATAGGGAATAACGATTCAAACGATTCATTGTTTTTAATTTTTTTTAATTGTTTCTACCATTTATAATCAATGGAATTAAATTTTTTTAAAGATAGGAATGCTAGTTTCTTTTTTCTCTGATTAAAGATCATTCTTTTTGGGTGGTTGGCACTGGTGATCAGGTCAGGTTTTGGCAGGATCATTGGTATGGTGTGAGTTCATTTGTAGATAGGTTCAACATTTCTAATTCAACTGCTGCTTCTCTCACTGCTACGTTTGATGTTGCTTGTTCTGACACGGGCTGGAATATTCCTACAACTTTATATAGATTGATTCCTTCCCTTCTTATTGATTTGTAGCATATCTACATATCTGATTCTATTATTTAGACTGACACAGATTCAGGTATTTTAATTATGAAAGTGGCAAAGGATTTCATAAGGGTTAAAGGCAATCATGAAAATTGGCACAAGGTTATTTGGTATCAGAACATCTTGCCTGCAAAATCGTTGGTCACCTGGAAGATATTGCATAATAGGATCAACAAGGATGATAGGATAAGGATCCAAAAACATGGTTTACAACTTTGTTCTCATTGCAGTCTTTGTCAGATTGCCTCTGAAACCGGGGAGCATCTATTCATTCAATGTTTGTTTGGGCAAAAGTTCTGGAACTGATAGGGTGAGATTTTTGGTGTAGTTAATTTCTCTTCATTTACTGAAATTGTTGATTTGTTTTTCAGGAAACATAACACACAGATAAAGGATATACTCACTGCAACAATTATCAGTTTTGGAAGATGAGAAATGAGAATAGATTTAATAGCCCCTTTATCGTTTCATAAAGCTTTGACTTTAGTCAGAGCTAATGTGGCTACATCCGGCATGCTTTCCAAAGGAGTAATGGGTAATCAGATTCAAGATTTTGTTATTCTTAAATCATTATTCTATTGTAGGTAGACTTTCTGCAGTTGAGAAGACTGTGTATGGAACATGCCTATCATCGGAGTTATTAAGTGTAATATTGACAGTGCTGCCAACGAATCGCCTGGTTTGGCTGATGATGGTAGTATTCTTCGGGGTAGCAGAGGATTTCCTCTATATGTGGGTGGCTTCACTGCGGGTTTTGGTCTTAAATTTGCTTTATATGTTGAGTTTGTTGCTATTATGTGTTGTATTAAAACTATTTTTTGCAGGAGATGATTTAAGTTTTGGATTGAGACTGATTCTCACTTGGTGGTCTTGACTTTTAAAAATTACTCATTAGTGTCCTGATCTTTTAGGGTTAGATAGTTGAAAGTTAAGAAGTGTTGTACAAATATACAAGTTCATATCTCATATATTTAGAGAGGATAATAAATGTGTTGATAAGTTGGTTAATTCAAGTATTATAAATAAAGAGAATTTTTACTGGTATAATTTTATGTCTGTTCGTGTTAGTCTTGATTTTGTCCGGAATAAGTACTCTTTTTTTCTAAAATACAGATTGTTTAATTTGTGAATGAGTTTTGATCTAATCCCCTATTTCTTTGTTTCTTTTTCTTTTAGGAATATACTATGACTTGTGATTTTGTTTTGCAGTCGTATAATCATTTTCTACTTTAAAACAATTGCATGGAGTATTATATATAATTTATACAACATATTTCAAGCTATTTTCATTCAGCCTCAATCTTTTCATTGAATATGATTTATATGATTCACAATTAAAAAATTAGCCTCGTGATTCACAATTAAAAATGATATTGGCTACAATACAGTGACCTGATTTCTATTGTCTCTTAACCTGACAGCTATACAACACTTTCTCGAGGGTACCTATCAAAATCTCTATGAAAAAAGGGGGCTAATTTCTATGTTACATGAGAAAGAATTGAATCCTAAAGGAGAGGGGTAGTGCTTTATACAAGGTGTCATGGAACTACGGTTGGGGTTGGACTATGGTGCTTCGCAAATCCAAAAGCATCTGCTTTGTTGCCACAAAAAAAATTGCCAAGTGAATGATGGAAGCCAGTGCCAGTTCTACTGCCATAATATAAGATATGCCCTGCTACAAGACTTCTTCTTCAACCAACATAAAGGGGACTGGATCCATCACATTTACAGTATACACTGGACGATGCAATCATAGCAAGCATCCATTCTGCATCTAAATCTGGGAATTTCCAGGGTATTCTCAGAAAAATGATGAGTTGGCCACATAAATCCCGTTCAACAGCATGCCATCAAAGAATCAACTCTCCTAAGCCTGTTGTATGTTCAAAATTCCACAGGATGCAGGCTTTCACTATAACAAGCCAATAAATATATCAGCTTGAAAGGCTAATTGCCACATCATCATCATCATCATGGAAAGGGGCTTCTTTACTGGTCTCGGAAGCATTCCCCCTTACTCGGGTACATTCCTGCTCTTTGGCAAGAGCGTGATGTTTGATGCAAAGGAGCAGAAAACCCAGTCGTCAACTATCTTTTGCACCCTTCTTTGTCACGTTAACGCCCTTTGCCTTTTCCATTTCAGCCTCTTTCTCAGCTTTCTTCTTCTCTAACTCTGCTTGTTTGCAGTTCTCTTCATGTGCTTTCCGAAACAACCTTATAAAATTTAGCAGGGTTGTGGTCACTGCAGTTGTTAAACCAGAAAGAATAACGAGTTAGCTTGAGCATAAAAAAGACGATAATATTTTGCTACTCCTTCGGATTTAAACTTAACTTCATCCCAAAAAACTAGTTCATGAAGTTACTACCCAAGCCTCATAGGAACAACATTGGTTGCATATCTAGTTTATGTGAGACTCAATGCAAACATTAATAAATAAATAAAAGCATTCTTCCTTAACCTTAGACAAGAAAATCATATTTCTAAAACAGCCTAATTTCTACAAAATACATACTTGTCTCAACCATAAATGCAACAGGTCATGAATACTTTCACAAAAAACATTACAATTTAATATTCTATATTCTGATATAAAAAGAATGTGTTTGGAAGAGCTTATTTACATCTTATTTGGACTTATGATTCTGTATAAAAATTGGCAGAACTCATGATATATCATAAATTACTTTAGCTTATATCAATAAGATCTTTAGAAATAGCAGAAAATTCTTGCAACTTATTTGGAAACAAATTAAACCTATTTTCTATTCGATAACAGTAATAACTTATTCATAAGTTCTTAAATGATACAAACAATTTTAATAAGCACTTAACTTAGTTGTTTACCAAACACAAGTTAAGTAACCAGTGAAAAATACAAATTTCAGTGTATCATACCAAGTACCAACAACATAAACATGTCAATCATCAACTTACCTTGCTCAAAAGGGCAACGAGCAGGATCCTCACCAAAATATAGCGCAAGTGCATCAGCATTTCTACCCTGTCCATATGCAAAATATACAATCTTTATATTTCTTCACATTGGCACATAATGTACAAGGAAGATAGTTAAGCATATTACCACTTCAGAATATAGGTTTGTTAGAGATGCTACCTCTGACTCAGATACAGCAATGAATTCTTTCAATGTCTGAACAGAACATTAAAAAAAAGTTAAAGGTACCGAAAATGTAAACCAGATAATAAACCATACAAAGTAGAACAAGAACTATATTCATCCATGTAATATGAAGGAAAATGTGATCACTGATAAAAAGAAAATTAAAGATCTACTTAATTTCAGTTTGACACAAATGTTTATGCAAGACTAAAGCAACATATGGAAACTTATAATTTTTTTCATCATGATCCATAACAAGGGGCTAATTGAATTAAGGAGAATCTGATAAGTAACAATGCTGGCAAGCAAAAAAGTTCAGACAAAGAACAAATTGAAAATAGGTAAAGAAAAACATTGGAATTGTTGAGAAATATAATTCGCCATGTAAATAGGAAAGTTCAAGTACAAGTCAGAGCATATTGTCTAAGTCAATTTTATATAGCTTTAGAATCATTAAATTTAAGATACAATGAGCATACAAAAAATCCCAGAATACACCAAAGTTTCACTGTTTCTCTCCATATCAGAAATTGTAACTTGTTTCAAATAGCCATGAGCAGAACACCAACAAGAAGCAAAAGAACACGATCCTAGCCATACGAGTTTAGGGAATGAGACACCCCTAAACACATGTTCATGAAGTTCTCACTGAATAAAATGAATAACACACAAGCTCCTAGCATCTGCACTCGAAAACTTGGAAGAACACAGAACTGTTTTGGCACTAAGTTACTTAAAGCACAGCTACTGTTTCCTTTTCAAATGCAAGTCTAGAATCTTGAGCTTCCTCTGGGATTCAGTAGTTCATTTCTAACCCCAGGTGGTACATTAAAATATTCTCCTCAAAAAACCCCTCATAATAATTTCAACATTTGTAGTTTGCACTAACTATTTCTTAAAATTGGAAGGTAAAGAAAAAGTACATATATACTCAAGCTCAATTCAATAAATAACCCTAGCAAGCCAGGGATTTGGCTCCTCTGAAGTGAGATGAGTCCATTTTAAAAGATAAAATGCAATAATAACCATCAATAGAAAATCAAAAGTTGAGATTATAATTAACTTTAGATTTTTACTTCATATTCATTGGGTTTTATCATAATCTCAACCATTGTATTAGAAAGTGGATTTGGGCCACATTGATTTTCTAATGTGCACTTTATTCTCTAAAGCAGACCTCACTTTAGAGGAATAGAACCTAGTAGGCTAGCACCCTCAATAATTAAGGCAAAGTCAGTTCCCATATTAGCCCTTTGTTTGACCAATTTAAAGAAAAAACATTGGTCAGCTTCTGAAAATTGTTATTTAAATCCACTCACGATAAACTCCCTTACAAGTTCTATTAGAAGGTATTTCACTTCTTTAGAACACGTGGCCAATAAGCACATCAATGGGACCTTAGAGCAACAAAATCACCTCATACATAAAGGGGAAGGACATTCTAAACTGCCAACACAAAATTGTATGGCGTAATTTTAGATAAATGTAAATTTATATCTCATGCTACAAATCAAAGGTTGTGATAAGTAATCCAACGAAGAGACTGTTGCATACAATGAAAAAAACAATATGAGAAAAAAATATGCAAGAATCTACAAAATCATAAACTTTAATAATTGCAGGATCAACCAGTACTTTGAATTCATTTTAAAAATTGAACTTTTCCATTTTATTATTATTATTATTATTTTCCTGATATACTGACGAAACACTGACATAAAAATTTATAACACCTTATGGAAAACTTCGGAGACAGGTCCATCATTTGCAGATGCAGCAAATTCTTGTTTAACCTTTTCTAGTCCCTTGATGATTGCCTGCATCTCTTCTGCTAATGACTTTAATTGTATCTGAAAGAAGTGGTGCACCCAGTCAAAACACATTGTAATATTATTACCAAAAAAAGGTAGTTAAACAGTCCCATCTCAACAGCATTTTCTTTCATCTAAAAATGTGAATAGTCACTTTAACTTTGATCCATGAGTAAATGAGGGTGTACAGTTTCAAGTAAATAGCAGCTTTTAAGCGCTGTAACACATTAAGAAATGTGGTTTAAATAAACGGGATTTTGCAGGAACTTAATTCAACATGTGTGCTCCTGGATGACATTTCACTTGACTGTGATTATTGGTAATTGCATATTTCACCAAGGTTTCTAAATGAGCATACTTGGAAATTAAATGGAATTTTTTTTTTTTTAGTAGAACCCACAATTAATGTTTAAGAAACTAGTTCGGACCAGCTCGGCTGGTCTGACAGGAAACCAGGCATATCATTGAGTTGATTCAATTATTGGATAAAAATGCTATTAAACTGATAGTGACGTCCTATAACCAGCTAAAAACCATTAAAACTAGGTAATCCTGCTCCGGGCAGACCATTTTATTCATGATTGTATCACAGAGCCCAAGGTGTGATTTTGCAAGCAAAGCTGCTTCGGTCATTTCCCTCAATATCCAAAATAAAGTAATACCATTAAACCAATACCTATTTTTAATATTTGTATCACAGTAGTCAATAGCAAATTAAATAGTGGTGTGGAATGACCGTTGTTCTGCTTTCTTTTTACTTTAGTTATACCTTCTAAAAAACTTCGTTAATAATATTATTATTTAACTTATATTACATATCATGTTTTATTTAGTTTTCATCACTTATTATTTAATGATTATACCACATATTAGGTTAATAACTATTATTTATTATATTATATATTACTCTTGAAATTGTTTTTATTTTTTATAATAATATTTTTTTACTATAATTCTTTAGTTTTACTATATTATTATAAATATTATAAATACTGAGTTGCCTAAATTATATTATGTTTTACATAAAAAACAAAGAAAGTTGTTGGACTCAAAATGGGGGCCAACAATTCAAAACAGACAAGAGATGTAAAAAAACACTAAAACCCTAATAACAACCCAAACCAATGGCTGCCTATGAAGTACTTATACTTCAAATTGCTTTATGTATCAATATTTGATACATATCTGATACGGATAACTTTTGGATATTTCACTGGTATGTGTTGGTGAAATTTCCAAGCTTTTAAATCATTTATAACCAATAAAACTACATGAAACATATAAGTATGTGTGTAGTATAGAAATATAGAAACATAAAAACATGTCTTTTGATAAACCAAAGAGGAAAATGAACAATTTTAAAAAAGTAATGAGATTGACGTGATATTTCCTATTTGTAAATAATAGAAAATAATTTATGATTATAATGATTTATATTTTTTTTATTTTGGCAATGTGCAAATGTGATTTTAACGTAGATTTGCATAATTGTAGTTATATATTTATTATGTTTTATATTGATATTTTTAGAATAATTATATTACTGTATCAGATGCATGTCATTCGTTATGCATATCGTGCATCATAGTCAATTACTAAAAGTTAGAGTAGCCCCAAAACAGATAAGAGAATGCAATGTAGTGGGAGGTTGCAAGATTATCAACGACATCAAACATCGCAATCATGCTTGATGACAGCAAATGTCACAAAGCCATGCCTAAGGACATAGAAAGTCGCTTAGCCTTGTCTATCAATGGTGCAAATGGAGGAGCAATCATGAAGGCTGCAAATCACCACGACAAGATTTACCCTGTGAGTGGTCTTGCAATGACCTCAACATCCATGTTCTGATGAATGCCTTACAAGGGGCTGATATGCTCCACCTCCCTGCAATCGCATGCAATTTTGACTACTTCGATTTGAATGACAAAATTATCTATATACAATATGTTGTATATAAATTTTATAGTTGATATAGACTTGTTTATGGGATTCAACTCTCAACCCACTAGTTCAACCAGTGCCCCATTAACCCAATACCGTGACTAGTTCAATGACAGGCCAATGTTTTAAAACACTGGCCACAGGTCTCCTTCACTGGAGACAATCTTCTTCAAGCTGAAGAGGATGATCACTATTGCAAACAAAACTCTGCCCGAGTATTTAATGCAACTGCATACCCAGAAGTTGAACTCAAGACCTCTGATTTGACTGGAACAATCAGACACTAGTTGACTCACATGCTCAATGGTTTCTTTTATACTCACACACACACATACACACGTGTGTGTGGGTGTGTATGTAGAGAGAGAGACCATACATATCTAGCCTGCTAGGCAATCTACTCAAGCCAAATAGGATCGCTATGGACAACAAAGCCTTCACTCTGAATATTAATGCAACTACATTCTCAGTACTAGATAGGCATGGCAACGGGGCGGGACGGGGGCGGGTTTTGTCTCCCCGATCCCCGCCCCCGACTTTTTTAATCATCCCCGTCCCCGCCCCCGATCCCCGCCGGGATTAGAAATTAAGTCCCCATCCCCGTCCTCGTTGAGTTTCGGGTTCCCCGTCCCCGCCCCGTCCCCGATCTATATTATTTTTAAAAAGATAATTACATTTATAATAAATTAATTTTACTATCTATTTTTTATATATAAATAAATATTTATAATTTTATAATTTATAATAATTATTAATTAAATATACATTTTAATTTATTATATTTATATTAAAATATGTATGTAAAAGAAATATTTAATCATTTTTTATTTATAACATTATTATTATTACTATAATTACTGTATTCAAATATTTGAATACTTATAACATTATCATTATTATTATAATACTTGTATTCAAACATTTGATTATATATATAAATTAATTCATTTTTAAGTTGTAATTTAAAAATATGAAATATATAGTTTATAATGAAATATTTAATAAGTTAATTATTATTCAATTAATTCAAAGTAATAAAAGTTTAAATTATCAATTCCTTTAATCCTTTAAAATACAATTATTTTATTAAGATAAAATTTGATATATGATAAATAAGAATAATAAGATAAACAAATGACATAATAAAACCTAATAAATATAAATTATAAATAAAATCATATTAGTTACTATTAAGATTTATGTAAAATATTTAGAAAAAGATAAAGAATAAAAAAATTAACTGTGTTCATCAAATTGATTGAAAAGATTAAAAAAAAAAACAAATTGATGAGAGAGATTAAGAAAATATGAAAAACTACAAGGTATAAGAGAGAATAATATAATAAATTAATTGATATAAAAGATTAAAAAAGATAAAAAAATTAAAAAATAGGTAGAAGAAAAATAAAAATTGGTAAAATATAAAAAAATGACCTTATATGTAATAGAAAAAGAAAAGAAAATACTTTTAAAATATTAATATTTTAAAATTTAAATTTAAATATAAAGTCGGGTCGGGGACGGGGTCGGGGTGGGGATTGCATTACTCATCCCCCGCCCCCGACTTTTTAAAGCGGGGAAAACCCGAACCCGCCCCCGCCCCCGGTCAACTCGGGTTTTTCCCGTCAAACTCGGGGCGGGGACGGGTCGGTCCCCACGGGGACGGGTTTAATTGTCATCCCTAGTACTAGAAATCATTAAATACATTGGGAAAACCCAATCCAATTAATCCACAAGCTCAATGGTTAAAAGGGAGTATTTTGTTGATAAATTTTGAGTGAATTCATTCAAAACATTGTAGCAAAGGAAAAGTTTGTCAAAGTAAAAGAAAATTGCATTTTGTACTAAATGGTCAACCTCAATATCCAATCCTCAATTAGGATGGTAAAATGGGTCAACCTGTCAAAAATGGGCTAGATTAAGTCGAACACATTTTAAGAGTGGATTGCAAATCTCAACCCAACCCTAGGTGGTTTGCAAGTTGGGTTGGGCAGACTTGCCACAATTTTAAAAAGCAAAATAAATAAAAATTGGGTTATAAATGGATGACCTAGCCCATCCAAACATATAACCATAATAACCACTAATTAGTGCATTAAAACAACCAATTGTTTGAAACATCAAATACATTTACCATTACCAATGACCTTAAAAAGTGAACACTAGAAATATTAATATTTTAGTTCACTAACACTAACAAATTTACAATTATAAGTGTTGGATAAATACAATATTAAAAGAACAGTTGACCCAACCCCATCCACCCTTAAACCACTTAGAAAATAGGTTTTTTAGGACCCATTTCATAATTGGGTTGAAAATTCCAGCCCAACTTATTTAGCAGGTTAAACAACCTAGCTAACCTAATTGGTTAAACCCTTTTTGTCATCCTACCCTAACTAAGTTCATTTTCACTTTTGCTTATAAATTACATTATACTAAGTCTCCACTTTATTTAACACAGTTTTTGTGTAAAGTCCCATTTAACTTATTTTAGCACGTAAAGGACTCAAAATGGCCTTTGACTATGCCAAAAGGAATGAGCTTGTCTCCAATGGTGATTCAAAGAGGTAAATTTCTTTTTTTAGTTACTTCCCTGCTCATATCCAAAACCAAGTCTCTTGGTCTTGGTTATAAAAACTGGAAGGAATGTGCTCATTTCTACAAATAATGGGGAAAAGTGAAATTGAACCAACAAATCAGGGAAGGAATGAAAGGTTGACCTTTCTTGCCTATTAAGAACCAAAAAATAAATAATCACCTTAGTGGAACCTTCCAGGTTAACAAGGTCTAAGTGGAAATCAAGGAGTTTGGGTGACTTATCAGCGAGGACCTAGAGCCAAATAGGGGAGGAAAAAATGGTTAGCCACTAAACAATATCTTCATTTGTTGCAATTGACACCTATACCTTGCAGAGATAATGCATCAGTGTCATTTTACTGTTAGAAGCACGAGTGTCTGTGAGCTTTAAAAGGCTATCTAACTTGAATCCAACTGCAGACCCTGCAAAAAATGAAAACATTTTATATTCATGCGTATCTATAAACTGGACATTCTAAACTAGATAAGTTCTAATATAATCATATAAAAGTTTGACTGCTAACAAATAGATTTGGCACCTTGTGTCCAGTAAATCCAGCAACAAATAATGAGAATGAAATTGCCACAAGTACAAAAAACTTACAGACTTACCCCTCGCTGTTCCTTGATTCAATGTATTACCCAAATAAAGAATTTTCTTCATTATCTCCTTCAGTTTAGCAGAATTTCGGACCTGTTACCAAGGAAAAAGTCCACAAGGTCAAAGAAATTCAAGCAATACAAGATTCATCATTTGGATATGTAAAGTACCTCTTCACAGGCAGAGTTCACAATGTTTAAACTCTTCTTAAATTCCGTAAGCTGCATAATGAGCAAAGTATGATATTGGAAATAAAGACCAAATTTCTTGAACATTCAGAAGTAAGAAAATTATTACAGACATCGACAGACCTGGGAACCAAACTGAATCTTGAATGAAAATACTCTTAATTTTGACTCCACCCTTGGCACCTTCATCAACTCCAAAAAATACTGAAACATCACAAAATATATTACATAGACATATATAATATATAATAGGAACTTAAATGAAAAAATCCAAAAGAATTTATTTACTGCCCATAAATTGCTTTTTCTTCCACAAGCAACAAAGCAGCATCAACCAATTCTCATTTCATTATATAAATGAATTTTGAATTTATAAACATTGATTTTTCAATCAACTAGATTGCTTACCAACATTTTCTTTTCTTTTGAGCGTGGAATACTAATTAGTATTATCATATATCTCTTTATTTAAATATTGATTTAATTCCATTTATTTTCTTTCTATATCTCCCCGGATCTTGGTAAGATTTTCATATCAGAATCTGAGTCCACGTCCTTAACATTATTTTTTTTATTAGGATAATTGTTACTTGTGATTCTATTAACTAGGGATTTTTTTTAATTTAATAGATAGGATAATAGTTAAATATGATCCTACTAACTAGGGATATCTTTATTTTTTATTTTATCAATTAGGATAATTGTTAGCTATAATCCTATTATAGCTATTAGAAGGACAAGTTAGTGTTTCACTTTCACTAAAAGGTTGCAAGAGAGTGTCTCCCATGACTCCATCCTATGCAAAGGTTCATAGCAAACAAATGCCACCGATTACAGATTTTAGCATTTCATTCCAACCAAAAAACTGAGAGGCCCTAGTGCCCAATCATTTAACTTAAACCCACTAGAACTGGTCAAAGATCTTTGGCAAACACAATCTCCACCATAAATAAAACAGAACACAAATTACTGACTACAAAAAATGAAAGAACAGAGGAGAACCAATTTTAGAACAATGATTAAGTCTTAACACCAAATAAACACTTTTATTTGAATAAGAATGAAAACTAAATTTTGCACAACAAAACTAAATTTCTCGATCCATGCTTTCTAGGATTGTTTAAGCCATAGAGAGATCATTGTAGTTTGCTAAACAATCCAAATACCCTTGAGCAACAAACGTGTGGGCCAATATATAAGTGGGTTAATTTTCAACTTACCTGGTTTTGTAAGATTGAGTTAAGCCTAAATCACTCTAGGAGAATAAAGGCCAATGATGGATAGAAATCATAACAAGTAGGGGTGCGGCCAAAAGGGCAAGCCCGGCCCAATTGACCAGCCTTGTCACCACTGGAAATATTGGTCTACCCCGCTTAGGGGTGGGTTGATGGAATGACCCACCAAAAATAAGAAAACAGAAGCAAAAAAGAAATAAGCAGGGAAAGTTCAAATTTCTCATTTTATAAAATTAATCTAAACTGTCAAATTTAGTTAAAGGACCTAAAATATATAAATAACTTAGTCTACATTTGATTTCATTTGATTTGAATATAAATTTTCCTATTAGTATTAAAGAAACTGTGTTTATAAAATAAAGTAACAATAATAACTAACAAAAATATTTTCATTTTTTTAACATTTAAAAGTTAAAAAAATAAAAATAAAAATAGTAAGAACATTCAACCAAAACACTCCACAAAATTTTCAGTTGCAAAAAAAAAAGTGGGCTGACAAACCAGATGTAATCCACCTTGTCACCCCTAATGGCAAGAAATAACTTAACAAAAGGTGTCACCTTAATCAAGTCCATAAAACAATCTTTGAGATAATATCCATTTGAACCAATTTTAACAGCATAGACCCATCAAAATCCAAAAGGTTTATTGACAGAAAGAAGTGGAACTAACTACTGGGTACCACTACTCTCAAATGTCTACATTTCATCTCTCACAATCATCCAAGGTAATCAAGTACTTTTGAATTTAGATTTTTCATGTATTTCTAACAATACCAAAGAAAAATATGGAGATAACGATAATATCTTGAAAATTATAAATAGGGTGTGGATTCAAGTAGATTTGATGCCTTTTCGAAAAAATAGGCCAGTCAAAATATGCTTCAAGAAGGTCTGCAGTAGAGGCAACTAAATGAGTAAGAAATGAATAATCTTGAGGTTTAACTTCGTCAGTAATTGGTGTTGTAGCTCGTTCCCTCCATTGATAGATGATAAGAGGAGGTTGAAACCTCGACGAATCTTCATTAGATTCAACAGTAGGGTTAGTTATTTCATTTAAAGGAGAAAGAGATGGACCCAAGTATGGGATTGGTAACACGTCAAGGATAACATCAAACTTGTACAAGTAAAAAGAGAAATAAAGGGTGCCCTTAAAGATGACATCACCTGACATGAAATAGTGAGTATTGGTTGGAGAATAACAATAATATCCTTTTTGCTGTGTAGAAAACCTAAGAAACAGAAAATTGACAGCGCAAAGAGAAAGCTTGTCCCAACTTTGAAATAGATTACAAACAGGATAAGTACATCCAAAAACCTGAGGATTAACATGGAACTTAGGATCCTGAGGAAATAAAATCCAACAAGGAATTTTATTGTTAAGAGCAAAAGAAGGCATTCAATTTATTAAAAAACATGCAATTAAAATCACATCACCCCAATGACAAGCAAAAATATTTGCACGAAGAAGTAATGTCTAAGCCATCTCAACACGATGGCATATCTACTTTTTGAAATTCTATTTAATTGAAGTGAATGAGAACAATTAGATTGATGTAAGATACCATACGAGGACAAAACATGGATAAGGTAGAAGAAAATTATTCTTTGACATTATAATTTCAAATAATCTTAATTTCCTTCTACAACTGAGTTTTAATTTCATCGTGAAAGGTAAATATTGAAAAGAATTCAGAAGTCATTAAGAATACCCAACTGCTTTGGGGGAATTCATCAACAAAGGTAATAAAATATCAAAAACCAAAAGACGTGGCTTGGTCCTTATATATCTGATAATTAATAAAGGAAAAACAACACAACTTTCAACTTTGCTTGGGAAGGAAGAACATGAGAGAAAGGTAGGAGTAGCAAAAATGAGAATTAAAATGGATTTGTGGTGATACTAGAAAGGATAGAATAATGGTTATACACAAGAAAAGGTTGGGGTAGCACAAGAAAATCCAAAAAGATGGTTTGGACCTTACAAAAAATATCACAAGAGGTGTTAGTCAGAAGAATAGATCGCATGACTTTTACTCCTGTGCAAAGGAGAGGAAGATCAAAAAAGACATTGGGGGAAGTGGTCAAGGTTGATATCAATGCCAAATGGCATCATGTGATCAACGTAGTTAACATCACCTAGTAGGATAATGCTTTGTTACTGTAATACAATGGAAATCTAAATAAAGATTAATTGAATTCCAAGATACATGTACAAGCAGTCTAAAAGAGGAAGCACCCCTACAACTTTTTAACCAATAGAAAATCCTTCCAGTGACAAATTCCCAAATGAAATGAACCCAGAGAACTCCAAGACAGGTAAAGAACCATCAAAGAATTTGACAACACAACAAAAAGAAAAAAAAAATTGGTTTAGATCTGATAATCTATGATAAACCACAGTAAAGCACTTTTAGAAAGGTTCATCTTTAACACCAAAAAAAAAAAAAATTCAAACATTCAAGAATTGAAAGAGAATTAATAAAAATATCGACATCCAACTCCAAATCCCTTACCAGAAACTTAATTGTTTTGGGGTACCTTTTTAAGAGTAAACTATCTATACCAAGAGTTCTGCAATTTTTTAAATTTTAATAGACATTACACATCAATTTCATCAATTGTTTTTGCAATCACTCCTCCCACCTCCCACTCAGATTTTGTTGAAAACAATGATGGCCAAACATACCAACTAAAACTTGATAGTTTTATCATTATTATACGTTTAATATTTCTTTCAATTTAAATTGTGAGAATTTTATCACATCACCAATATTCGAAAGGAAATTTTACTTTCAAAATAGCTCATTCATACTTCATGTAAACCTGATGAACCAAGGCATGAGTCAAATACATATAACCATAAAAGCCAGCCCATATAATTATATTACCAACACTTTCTGTCAATAACCATATGAATAAAATTAGTCATTGCATACCTGTTCACACTTCCCCAGAAGTTCCTTGTCACCTGTGTATCCCTAAACAGCCATATACAAAAGAAATCAAAGTTAGAAATCAAACAAATCAGAGTAAAAGGAATGAAGTATTAGAAGATGCCACAAAATAGAAACCTTAGGCCAATTTCGGCATGGTTGCAAGTTTTTGGCTTTTGGTTTTGAAATGCAATTTCAATACAAAATGTTTTTTTTGCAAAAATGGATCTGAGATGGCTATTAACTCGATTTCAAAACACTTATACATTCATTTTCAAAACCAGGAGAGAGAATTAATGAATTTAGTTCAGTTTTTGAAAAACACATCTTGCTACCTTTGACTATGGTACTTCCCATTGTAATCATCACAGCCATATACACCACCTTTATTGCCACCAACACCTCCATCATTGCTTCCACTATTGTCTCTACTACTACTACTACTACTACCACCACCACTACTACCTGCACTGTCACCACCAGTTCCCATGCTACCATCAGAATCACTACTAGCATTGTTGTCAGCATTTTTACTACAATTGATATTGCTACTACCTCTACATGCACCACAATCATGAATATTGTTACTACTAGCACCACCATCAATGATAATGCTACTACTTCCACCACCATTGTTATTTTTACTAGCACTACTAATACCATTGATGCCACCACCACACAAACATATCTTTAAACTAATTTCAACAAAATAGGTAATTTTTAAACTAATTTATTTTTAAATTATAAATTAGGAAAAAAATACTAATGTTCAAAACTAAAAAATCACCGTAAACTATAAACTAATTTTTAAAAACTAAAATATGGTTGTAGCTTTCAAAAGTTTTTGAAATTTAGAACCAAGAACCACCATAAACGGACCCTTAATTGCTAAAACAAGATGCAAGAAGTATGGATAAATTTATTAAATTTCACCTTTAAAAGATCCATCTCCTCTTTGGTAGGACAGAACTTAATGAGATTTTCCACTTGATCAATATCTAATACTGACTCGTCCAAAGCCAGCACTGCAGCCTGAGAATATCCATTAGAACGTGTTATAAAAGATAATGCTTAACACAGATAGATACAGGTTGAGATTTAGATGTTAGAAAAAGTTTGAACCAGATATGGAGTCCAAAAGATTGTTTACCAACTATCAGCAGCCTTCACTGTTAATATTCACTATTCCACATATTTTGAGAACCAGTCTCAATGGAAAGAAAAAATAATTATTTTCACCATAGCGCTCCTTTAAAAAAAGAAAAACAAAACAGTTCTTTTGATCATAAAATACTTAACCTAAATAACTACTCTTGCATGATTATAAATATTTCCAAATCAGAGTATCAGCTTACCATCATATCAGGAAGTGGCATCTTAACCTTAGTCAGCATAATTTCAGTATTATTAGCCCTCCTTAGATCAACCTACAATCGATAATACAAACACACAAGTAATTGATAAGTAGTTAACAAGGTATCAACATCAAGTCAATGAGTTTCTAATATATTTGCTTTTAAGCACTAACAAGCAAAAAACTGCACCAATATCACCTTACAATTCATTAAATTTACAGAACCAGAATTTTAATTTATGGTACATGAAGAGACAGTGAAATGAAAGGACGATAACTGAGCAATATTTTCCATTGACGTTAGTACAGCAAACAATACTAGATTTTTAATCAATAACCTATCAAGGTGTGTATTGACATGATAAAATTAACAAAAAGTTCATTTGTTTCCTCAATAGTTTGTTTACTCAAGAGGTTAATAAGAAGTATCTAATCTTGCAAGTTAGGTCAAAACGAAGATGATTTCATTTGATGAACATATCATGTACTTTACAAATCAATGGCAATATAAATGAAGTGATGAACTTTGGTAAAGCTTCAAAACATGGTGAATTATATTTCTAGATAGACTAACCAAATGAAAACCATCAAATCATCTCACAAAAGGCTTATATTATAAAACATTTTAAAAATATTCATATATATATATATATATATATATATATATATATAGATAGATAGATAGATAGATAGATATAGATATATAGATAGAGAGAGAGAGAGAGGGAAAGATTAATACCAAGGTGACTCTGTCAGCTTTAGATCCAACAGACTTGCGGCGCCCTCCAGATTTTCCACCAGAATCAGAAGGTTTTGGAACATTTAAAGAGAAAAGCTTCTCTAGTTCTGAAACATCGAACTCTGGTGCACTAAGATAGAACATAAAACCAGTCATTACAAAATACAGGGATATAGATAATAAGGCGAAAATCATACAATTATACATCATTGAACTGATTTAGACAAACACGTGCAACAGTAGAAAAGACACATTACATTTGTGGTTCTCCATGTCTTTGTAATTCTTCCCATAAACTTCCTTGTAGTGCCCTTGTAACCTTGCTCCAATGCAAAGGCTTTAAAGAGGATTTTCGGGGTGCAGCTCCTGTAGGGCGTGCATACCCACGTCCCCTGCCTCTTGGATCAGCTCCATCATTTGCACTTTTTGAACCTAAGGGCGGAGGTGGTGGAGGTCCACCCCCAGGAGGTCTAGGAGCACCAGGAACACCTGGGGGAGGTGGAGGAGGGGGACCTCGACCACCAGGAGGAGGTGGAGGAGGGGGACCTCGACCACCAGGAGGAGGAGGAGGAGGTGGTCCTCGACCACCAGGAGGCGGTGGTGGAGGTGGTGCTCCATACATTGGAGGAGGTGGAGGAGGTGGTCCTCGACCACCAGGAGGTGGCGCTCCATACATTGGGGGAGGTGGAGGGGGTGGTCCTCGACCACCAGGAGGTGGTGGTGGTGGAGTTGGTGCTCCATACATTGGAGGAGGTGGAGGTGGTGGTCCTCGACTCTTTGGAGGCGATGGTGGAGGTGGTGCTCCATACATTGGAGGAGGTGGTGGTGGAGGTGGTGCTCCATACATTGGAGGAGGTGGTGGTGGAGGTGGTGTTCCATGCATTGGAGGTGGAGGGGGAGGTGAGGCTGCACTTGATGGAGGAAAAAGTGGTGGAGGGGGAGGTGGGGCTCCACTTGATACAGGAAAAGGTTGTGGAGGGGGAGGGGGAGGGGGAGGTGGGGCTCCACTTGATACAGGAAAAGGTGGTGGAGGGGGAGGGGGAGGTGCGGCTCTACTTGATGTAGGAAGTGGGGGTGGGGGTGGGGGTGGGGGAGGTGGGGCTCCACTTGATGGAGGAAGAGGTGGTGGGGGGAGGTGCAGTTCTATACATTGGAGGTGGAGGTTGGGTCCCACTTGATAGAGGAACAAGAGGAGGGGGTGGAGTTCTATGCAATGAAGGAGGCGGTGGTGCTGGAGCTTGACTAAAAGGAGGAGGAGGTGGTGGTGGTGGTGGTGGTGGTGGTGGTGGAGGAGCTCTACTGAAAGGAGGTGGAGAGGGAGGTAGTGAAGCTTTACCAAAAGGAGGGGGAGGTGGTGGTGGAGGTATAGGTGGTGTAGCTGAATATATATGTGAATTAGCTAAGGGTGGTGGAGGAGGAGGGGGAGGTGGAGGTGGAGGAGGAGGGGGAGGGGGAGGTGGAGGTGGAGCCAGAGATGAAGTTAGAGGTGGGGTTGCTGGTGCAGATGAAGCTGTATGTGATGCAAATGGGGGTGCTGGTGGGGGAGGAGGGGGTGGAGCCCTATTTGTTGAAACTGTAGGAAACATGGGAGGAGGGGGAATTGATGGAAGTCCATGCTTTGGAAGAGATGATGCTAATGGTGTTAGTGGAGGAATGGATAAAACTTCATTCCTTGTAGGTGGTGGTGGTGGTGGCGGAGGAGGCTGTGAAGGGACCACTGTAGCACCAACTAGAGAAACATCCAATGTGATGTCACTGCTTGCAGCTGGAAGAGGGGCTGTAGGAAGGGTTAAAGATACACTAGTCTCTCCAACTATTGATGAAGCCACAGATTTCCAAGGGCATGAAGAAGGTATTGAGCTCCCTATATTTTGCCCAAAAAATGGGGGTGGGGGTGGGGGTGGAGGTGGAGGGGAAGGAAGAGAAGTTGCAGGTTGTCTCATAAATGTTGTTAAAGTTGAAGGTGGCGGTGGTGGTGGTGGTGGTGGTGGCACCATGATGGACCCCTTTCCACCCAAAGAAGATGGATAGTGTTGAGCTGATACATCATCCTTTAACGATGAGGATTCCAAAACATGTGAAGAGATTCTACTGTGACTGTGAGTTGGAGCGGGAGGGGGAGGGGGAGGGGGAGGAGGAGGAGGAGAGGGAGGTGGTGGAGGAGGCTGTAGCAGTTGCTCTGAGCTCTGTTGTTGTAAAGACGTATCTGACTGCAACAATGTCTCTTTAATTGAAGACAATGGTGATGGTGGACCTTTTTCATCTATTTCTGCTGCTATATAGCCAGAAGATTTTGAAGTGGCCACCTTCCTGCTTTTTGGGTCATTTGGCCTGTCAATAGAAGCAACAACTGCAGTAACAACAGGAGCAGATAAAGATCTTGTTTTGGCATCTTCCATTTTCTCCTTTGTAGAAGACAAATTTGTTAGTGCAGCTGGTGCACTATTATTCCTTGATGGTGGATAATAGACATGCATTGAATTTGTATAAGAACCCTTGTTAGAAGGAATCCATCTAGTTACTGCATTAGGCTTTGCTTGTTTTGCCTGAAAACCATGGGTTTCTTGCTGTTTAACCTTTTGCTTTGCTGCACCTGTATCTCCAACTGACTTCAAGTTGGATGGAGGTTGTTTCTTGGCAGTAGATGGAAATAGTTTACCAGATTTTTGTTCAGTCAAATCAGGCATCTGGTGACCAGCCTTGGAGTCTAATTCCTTTTCTGTTGCCTCCTTAACTTCGTCATATTCATTTTCAATTACTGCAAATTCTTGTTGCACATCCATGGTAACTTCCTTTGTTTCCAGAGGATGTTTCATCATATCAGAAATAACTGCAGTGGAAGTTGACTTAATTTCTCCATCATCCACACCAATGTCCTTCACTGCATGAGGATCTGAAGCTATGCTCCCATCAAATTTATAGTGCACATCATCAATAGAGATGTCTTTCACAGCATTCATACCAGAATCCATCTTGTGAACATGCTTGGGAATCCTGTCATCTGGCGAACAATCCTCAAAGGTATGAGGATCGGGCTCTTGCCTCAAGACCACTTTATGAGTTTCATCATCCACTGCATTTTCATGGAATGTGTGAGAATAGTACTCTGTCTTACCTTCCTGTGCATCCATTACATTGCTGAAGATCTCTTCTACTTCGTAGAACTCCTCAGGTGAAGCACTTTCTGTCTCAGCACTATCAGTCTCATTTACATCTTCACTCACCGTGACTGTGGTTAGATCAGGTATAACAGCATCAGCGTCCAAAAAAAGCACCTGATACATATATGAGTATGTGTTCAACTCCTACCGCTCCAGAAAATTGCCTTTTTGGAAGAATAACAATAACTTACCTCTGCTTTGAAGTCCTTGGGAAACAGGTCCTTTGCCTCCCACAAAATATCAATTTCATCACGGTTCAGCATCAAAATATTTGACCGCACAAATGCAGTATGAAACATAACTCTAAACATCAATTCCTCACTAACAAAATCTTCACTTAAATGTATGCACTCAAGAACCACATCCCCTTGAATACGACATCGGATGTCAATTTTCACGAGCATACACTCTGCCTGTGATTAAAATTTAATAAGAGGACACTCTATCTAATCAATTCACAATTCAGTATCAATAGGGGAAATTTATATGGCACCTGTAGGTAATGGCGAACATGCTTTTTGGACTGTGAAGTCGAAAAGAGAAGCTTCGAACTTCTACTGGCAGTAACTGAAGGGTCCTGACCATAAACACGTACAACAGGCCTGCAACCTTTTCCATCGTCAAATACTGGAAGGACTCTAAGAATCACACAATCCAAATACAAGGGTGTTTCTGATGGTGGCCACTCAGAACCCATATTTCTCCTGGAAATATATTGAAGATATCTTAAATGAGAAGGCTGCGGATTCAAAGGAGACAATAGGTGTAGTAGTTCTCTTGGAGCTTGCTTGTAGACCATTTCAAGAGTCTTCTGCTCCCCATTGTATTGTTTCCGGTATAACAGAAGACCTGCTAGCATAAATGCCAGCACGGGCCAACCTCCCCTTTCACAATGCATCAAAAGCACATTTTGTTGCCCCTCCAGAGACAACCAGCTTTCACTTGATCGAAGGAAGTGATGGATCATCTCTAAAGGCAGAACAGGACAACCCTCATATTGCCGAGGGTACTCCATAACTGTCATGTCATACTGAGAAAGTATGTCTGAGATATGGCTGCGTCTCTCCCCTTCTCTGAAATTGAATACCATGAAAGAAGCATCTGGAAAGTGATCCTGTAGCTGAGCCACAATGCCTCCCATATAAACTCTATATTCATCTTCTTCCAAGACATCCGGGGAGAAGCAACAATCAAAAACTGCAAAAACAGGTATCGAATACCCAATACTACCAATTCAGTAACTAGGGTACTTATTTACAACTTTAAAAGCCATGTTATCATTTCAATAAGAAGATAGAAAACCAAAGCCAATAAGCAAAGAAACGAATTTCTTAACAGAAAACAATGTTTCATTCTGCCAATACACATCTTTCCAACAAGGAAAAAACCAACTGTCGCAAGCCATAAAAAATGATGTCTTAAAGGACAACACTCAATGGTCTCAGTTTAAAGAATCTTCCAGAGCTCATCAAATAGCAACCTAACTGACAAATGACCACCATGAGTCCATGACTCACATACTGCTTTATTTTTTCTTCTCCAGAGTGATTAATGTCCTACAAGAAAGCAAGAAAGGAAACTAAAAAGTCCAAGTTAAAAGGAAAGGTCCACATTGTTGTAGCTCATTACCAAAGGCATTGTTTTGAAATGACATTAATTAAAGTTTGCTAAATTAGCTTCTAAACAATAAAAGGAGTCCTAACAGCAACAAATTCAGCTGCCCCTTAACTTGCACAGAGTTGCAAAAGTAATGGATGAAATGCTCCCGGTGCATTCATGAGCTTAATTATGCATAGAAAACGGAACAATCAATGAAGAAATAGAATACGGGGAAAGTAAAAACGAGAGGGAAATGGGGAGAAAGCAAACCATAAACTCTCTCGGAAATCTCCAGAAGCCGATCCGGCGGCTTCCGGTAGAAGAACCTTCTGAACAGCGCCATCTGATGGCGCTGTTTCTACCCCGATCGGATCCAAACCGGTAATTGGGTTGGTCCACCACCAAGATCAAAACTTTTTGCCCCGAACAATTGAAGCCGCAGATCTTGCAAATACCCAATTCGATCAGAGGCCAATAGAACCCGGAAATCCTCAATTCAGAGGGAGAAGAGAGCAAAAGTAAAGGTTGGCGACGTGATCCAATGGGAAGCTGAATTGAAGATTAACAATAGTCAAATAATTGAATTCCAAAATGAAAATAATAAATTAAGAAAAATGAATTGAATGAGAAAGAGGGGCGGACGAAAAATTGAAGTGAAGTAGAAGTGGAATGCAAAAAAGGTAATAAACCTTTATTTTTGTTTCTTCTTTCTTTTCTTTTGTTTGGTAAAGCGAGGTGAATTTGAGAGAAAATGTGATAAGAATGAGAATGGGAAAAGGGGCAATGGAGAAGAGAGAAAGGGAAGAAGGAAGCGTAGTGGACTGAAAAGGGGAATATGAACACTCGTTGGAAGCTAGACCCGTCTCTCTTTCTCTCTCTCTCTCTCTCTCTCTCTCTCCTCTGTGTGCCTGTCTGTGTGTTGTGTTGTGTTATGTTGTGTCTCTCTGCAACTGCATACAGACAACATATTTTTGGGCAAGCTGGGGTTGATGGCACCCTTGTCTACGTGGCTGGGGACGTGGCACATTCATTCCACATCTCACTTCAACATGTTTAACACCAACACACATTCAAAATCAAAATCTAACAGTTAACTTTTTAACATACTTTTTCTACACGTTACAATGTAATCTTTAACCTACTATTATTTCATTGCATTTATTATTAACTTTTTGTAGTAATTATCTTTTTATTTGACATAATTTCTGATTAATTAAATAATATCATACAAAATTTACAAATTAGACTCTTTAATATATATAATCTTTAAGTTATTTATTTGTTAAGAATTTAATTAATTTGTTATTGAACAAATATATTAATTAGGCATGCATTATTTGAACTATAAAAATATATCAAATGTGCATGGCCACTTTTGAGAATATAAGTTGGACGGATCAAAATGAATCTATCTTTACTTTTGCTTGATTAGGAAATTGTTAAAATCATATTTTTAATTTTATTTTTTCTTATTTAAGATATAATTATTTATGGAACAAAATTGGATCATCTAAATTTTTTGATATAATAAATATTGTATAGTTGAACTGTAGGATTGGAGAAATATTAAACTACAAATAAGATATATTTTAACGTGTATATTAATTTTAAGATAAATAATATAAATACAATATAATGTTATTATTATTATTATTAAGTAAATGTGTTTTATTTTTAATACATGGTAGTTTTGAAAATGTATTTTTCAGGTAATATAAGATAATTGATGAAATTGGAACAATCTAAAAAATAACTGGAAGTCTAAACCTTTTTTCTATTTGCAACAAACTAAACTTCTTTTAAAACAAGCATTACAACAAAAACATCAAATAATGACTAAATTTTCGATCACTAAATGACCAAAATCGATCATTAACTAAAATAGTGATCGAAATAGTAACCAACCCAAATCGATCACTATTTTCTTGGTTGCTGATTTCAGATGATCGAATTAGTGACTCGATTCAGATCGTATCGAATTTTTTGATAATAGTTTATAAATAAATTATATTTATATACAAATAAAAATATATATTCGTGTAAATATATAAATATAAAATATATAAATACAAATACTAAACATATATATATATATATATGTTGGATGTGAGATCGCGCTCGAGGGTGAAAGTGTGTGTCGGAGGGATTTTTAAAATTTGATGTCAAATTTGTGAGCGGGTCTCTTTATATGAGTTTATAATTTAATGACAAGATATAATCTTTATAATTTATTTATATAATGATATAAAATAATTTTTTTCTTTATTTATTTTTATTTTATTTTAATTTATATCTTCTTATATTTTTTTCTTCTATTATTTAATTAAAATTCTTATATTAAAATAATTTTTTCAATATTAAAAATAATTAAATATTTATTTTTAAAATTATTTAATTTAACAAATTAGTATAAATTAATCTAATTATGATTATTAATAGAACAATTTTTTCGTAACATATATTATTATAAATTAATCAAAATCATCTTTTAATAATTATTTTTTCCAGACATAGATTAATTCATAATAATTTGTTAAATTAAATAATTTTTAAAAATAATTTTGAAAATAAATATTTAATTATTTTTAATAATGAAAAATATTTTAATATAAGAATTTTAATTAAATAATAGAAGAAAAAAAGATAAAAAGAATACATTAAAATAAAATAAAAATAAAAATAAATAAAGGAAACAATTATTTTATATCATTATATAAATAAATTATAAAGATTATATTCTATCATTAAATTACAAATTCATATAAAGAGACTCACTCATAAATTTGACATCAAATTTTGAAAACTCACTCGACACACACTTTCACCATCTAGCGTGACCATCACATCGAACATATAAGTATATAAATATATTTGTATTTATATATTTATATTTATATATTTACACGGATATACATTTATTTGTATATAAATATAATTTATTTGTAAATTTTAATTAAAAAATTCTAACAGTTTAGTGGTTGGAGTATTAATATCTAACTTTAAGGTACTCATTTTGAATCTTATTAGCAATAATTTTTTTAATCTGATAAAAAAATTTTGTTAATAAGAGAAATTATATATTTTTGTGGTAAGACGATGAGATTTTTAGGTTAAACTAAAATTAGGGCAACTAAATTGTTGTTATGGACTAAAACCCAAAAAGTAAAAAATAAAAAATATAATTAAATAAAAGAAAAAATATATACTTTTGCATTTTTATTTTCAAATATTAATTTTTTTATGAAATTATTTTTAATTAAAATAATTAAAGTGATATATATATATATATATAAAAAATTTTTTTAATTTTAATTTATTAATATTATTAAATTTTAGCTTCATGATTAAAAAAATACCAATAATTTAAATTTTATTAATTCTATAATTTTATATAATTATTATTATAAATTTAATTCTCCAATAACTAATAATATTAACACATTTATTAAATTAAAATTCTTTATTTTAATTAATTATTTTGATTTTCTTTAACAATTTTTTTAAATAAAAATGATAAAACTTAAAATTAATTTCTAACTAAATCTTCACATATTTATGATTAATAATATATTATATTATTATGTTTAATTAAATTTTAAAATAAGTTCACTTAATCTTTACACTTTTATAAAAATACTAATATAAACTTAAAATATTTATCCAATTATTAAATTATTTAAAATATTAATATAAATTTAAAATATCAATTCAATAATTAAAATAATTTTAATTTTTTTATAAATACATTGAAATACATTTTTATTAACATAAAAGTAATATATATATATATATATATATATCAAAAAGAGACTAAATTAATAATTAATTTAATCATTGATTATATATATAAAAGAGACTAAATTAATAATTACTTTAATGATCGAATCGGTCACTGACTCGATGACTAATTTAGTAATTAATTTTACTTTTTTTATTCACATACTAAATTAAAAAATAAAATCAAATAATTATATTACTAAATTATTTAATAAGTTAATAAACTATTTTTTAAAATTTTTATAATGTTATTAAAAAATTTATCAATTATTTTAAATTATTAAGTAGATTTATATTTAATATATTATTAAAATATTTTTAAAAAATATTTATATAAATAAAAAATGGTAACTAATTTATATATTATTTGTTTAGTGACTCGAAATTTTAGTCATTAAATCAGATCACTATATATAAAAAGAGAAATCAGTCACTAATTCAGTTACTATTAGTAACTGAATTTTCGGTCACTAATTTCGATCATTATTAATCATTTTTCTAGTAGTGACCGAATCAGTGACTGATTTGGTGACCAAATCAGTGACCGATTTCCGTGACTGAAATTTTAGTCACTAAATCGAGTCACTAAATATAAAACGAAAATCAGTCATTGATTCGAGTTACTATCGATGATCGAATTTTTCTGATTACTAATTTCGGTCACTATTAACCATTTTTCTAGTAGTGACATTCAATTTAAATTTAAATCGTTAAAATAGTCATATATATATTACTATAAATATAAATCTTGAACTTAAAAAATAAAAAACTCACTTTCTCACACTTCAATTGGAGATATTCAAAATTAGGGTTTAGATAAGTACCTGCAAACTCGAATGTATCAATCTATGCCAACAACAATTTAGATTACATATTATTTTGATTTTGGTTCATTTTATTTTGTATATTTAATCTCAAAATTGTCAAATACGTGGATGGCAAACATGTTTTTGAATGAGATTTATTTTTGTTTTAACATATTTTTAAATAATACTTACACTTTCTTTAATTTTAAAATAAATACTAATTCTCACTGCTTTTTAAATAAGATAACAATCATTATTTTATATGGTTTGTAAAAGACATTCACCTCTTCGTGTTTTTAATTAAATAATTTTAATGTATTCTTTTAATCAAAATATATGAAAATATTTTATATAAATAAATAATAAATAATGTAATCATAGAATAATCCTTCACTCCTATTAATGTATTATTTAAATGACTTTTTTATTTATTTCAAATAAATATTTTCATCTTTTATAATTTTATTTGCATTTGTATTTATATTTATATATTTTTACAACATAACTATATTTGCATTAAGATCAATTTTGCAATAATGTATTGTCTATTTTTATATTAAAACAATGTTTGCTTAAAAATATAATTTTCCATATTTTTATAAGACAATTTATAACTGATTGGTAATATAATTTTTAGACATTATTAATATATAAAAATAAAATTATTTAATTTTATATTTAATTTTTTAATTTTCATAATTTTATATTTTAGTTTTGATCAATATATTATATTTAAATAAAACAAAAATTATTTTCACTT